GAATTGAGTCTAATTTGGTGTCGTTGGGTTCTTATTTTTGAGATGTTCAGTTCGACTATAAGTTTGTTGAAATTGAGGTTCGAATGGTCCCCAATTTTAATTTCGGAAGTTTCCTACCTGATTTAGCTTCAAGATTCGTGCCCGATCAAGATAAATTTTGTTATGATATATCAATAATTATAATATTTTAGAAATAAAATTTTGTGATTTTTTCATTCTTAAAATAATTTTTTAGTACAAAGATTTAATTTTTTATGTTAGAAAGCTGCTTTAAGAATCAGTAAGAAAGTCGTCCCAAACGAAACCTAAAATTGACTTAAAATCAGTTCAATTGCATTTAATCGTTACAGCTTAAAATAGAATTGGAACGATTTAGGGCTAGCTCAATTTTGTTTTTGATCCGACCCAAAATGGAATAAGAATCGATCAGAGCTTGCTCGAAATCAATTAAATTTTCTTTTTGTTTCATAGTTTCAAATATTTATTAATATTCAAAAAATATATATGAGCTTAATATTTCAATCCAGCAATAGATATAAACCCAAAAACTACATTATTTCTTTTTTACATTATTCTCATTACAATACAATTGCTTTTGACAGTCAAAATTTACGGTAAGAATAACTGAAAAAAAAAAAAAACTATTAATTTATTTCTACAGTCAAAACCTAAATTTCAGCTTCGTTTGGGATAGGGGTGTCAATTCGGGTCAACGGGTTGGTTCGGGTCGAACCATAGTTGACCCGGATCTAAACAATTATTTATTATAATTAAAATATGTATTTTTTTTTTTGCATAATATATTCTTAATATTGATTTTTTTAATATTTTCCTTTATTCTCTTATATCAGCATCAATGGAATCTAATAAAGATGTATTTTTTATGATTCCAAATTTTATAGTAGAGTTTTATTTCTTGTTTGGGACAACTTTTTTATTACTTTATAATTTTACTTTTTCTAATAAAAATCTTTCAAAAAGCAGAAAAAACTGTCATACAAAGCCTTCAGCTTTTCAGCTCTTGTACAGTTATCGCTTTCTTGTAATTTCAAATTCTGTTGCTGCATCAAATCATCTTAATATTCAGTAAAAAATGTTAATTTTAGGCTGAAAGAAATCCGTTAGAAATTTCTGTAGTTTTTCGGTAGATTTTTTTATGGGATTTTCTGGTCGGATTTTTTAAATAATTTAAATTTTCAGAAAAATAATAAATATTTATAATTATTTTTTTATTAAATTAATTAAGTAATTTAATAACTTATTATCAAATTAAATTAAATATTGTTAAACTAAAATAAATAAATAGTTTTAATGATAATTATTATGTTAAATTAACCTATTTAAATTATTTAATTAGCTAATCTAATAAATATTGTTAAATTAAATTAACTAATTCAATAATTTGTTGATCTTTTAAAGATATTAATATTATTTTTAATTAATTATTACTTTTAATATTCTTAAATAAAACATACGAGCATTAATAAATAATAATAAAACTTGCTCTGCAGCTTGATAGTTTGGCGCTAGATTATTTTGTGAAGGAGCGGGGTTCAAATCTCTCACTACATGTGCAGCAGATGCGGATGGGTGGGCTGCCAGTCCGATCAGGCGGGCCAATGTGGGCGGGTGGGAGAGCTGGCCCGCTTAAGGAAAATTCCATTAATTTTTTAAAAATTTATTGCATCAATTTCTATATTTTTTTTGTCGGAGTTTATTTTCGTACTAGTGTTTTACGGATGAAAAAATTTCTGTCAGAAATTCACCGAAATGTGTTATTCTAACGGAAATTTAACGATTTCCAACAGAAATGAATCATTTTTATGTAGTGGGGGATGGCGGTGGGGTGGCCCGACAATGACAATGGTGGTTGGTGACGACCGTGGTGGCTGACAGTGACTAATGGTATCCGATGGTGGCAATTATTGCATCTGACAGTGCTGGTGGCTGACAGCGGCAACAACATGACTGTTGGAGGCAATTTTGAAAGTGATTGACAGTGGTCGGCTATCGACATGCAATGCCTGATGGGGGTGGTGAAAATATCATTTGGTTGTGGTCAAAATAATTTTCACTCAAAATTGGACGAGTTTACTTTATCTAAAAAATAAACAAGAATAATGTGCATTATATTTAAAATACTTTACACTGCACTCCTTTTTCATTTAACTAAACATGAATACTTTCAAAACCACTGCAAAAAAAATACCGTGCAATAACTTTACTTCAAACCAAACAAATCCTTAGTGAAATAGAGTTCCTATAATCAATGAATACTCCACCATTAACACAAAGAGCATATTAGACTAAATAAAATCATACAAACCAGTAAATGCATCAATACTACTATGAATGGTCTTTAATGGCATTTATGTGCGAACTTGAGTGGAACAATAGCTTATAAATATTTTATTTTAGGTTGTCCATCTTTCTATGATTATGCCATCATTATAAATTGGTTGGTTGTTGTGATTGATGAAAAATATTTTCATCCAAGAGAGTTGAAAATTTAGGCAAGTGAAAAATAGAATCGAGTAGTCAAACCAATATTTTATCTGCCTTCTTTGACGTCCATGAACTTCTACAACCGAACCACGAAAGATGCGTCATTCTCTCATTCGCAAGCAGTGTTGGCGTCACATTGTTCACAAATGCAATTTTGTCGGAAACTGAGAAAGCAGAGAGGAGAAAGGATAGCGCATGTAGTTGAGAAATAATATACATGCACAATTTTTTTTTTTGGTTAATAAATAGAGTTTGATTAGAGATATATTATTGAATTTTGAAGAATAAAATATTACTGCATTTTGGAGTGAAAAATGAGTTCTTCGATTGGAGATGATCTTAATCATATTAGAAAGAAAAATATTTTTAGACAAATCTTCCCTATCAAAATCTTCTTTGTCAAAATTATGTTGGAAAAAGCCTATTTGTTATTGTGTAGCTTATGGCTGAAAAATATTTTTGTTGTAAGATGAAACATGAGAAGAAACTCTCACATTCAATCAAATTGACTCCATTCATATTCTGAAGGTAACCGAGTATAACGAAGATCTCTTAAAGCTTATTCATGAAATATAGCTTTGTAATGAAAAGCTGATTCAAGCATTTTATAAGTAGGGTTTGAACTTGTTGAGATATCAATGAAAAAGTAATTTATTGGTAGATAAGTTAATCATCCTTGCATTCTTATTAGCGGTGTCAAAATTTGACTAGACCCGAACTCGATCCTGAAATTTCGGGTTCAGGTTGACCCGAACCCAAACAGAGTGGTTCGGGTTAAGGTTTTCAACACGTTTTAAAAATCAGGTCGGGTTTGGGCTGGCCCCACTAATCGGACCTGCCTGCATTAACAACGCCTAACCGGAGCTGCCCAGCTTGCCTGCTTGGGTCCCGAAGCCTTGCGTCGTGTCCCGCGTTGCATCCCAAATCTGCCCAGCGTCATGTCCCGCTGACCACTAACCCGCTTGCCCATCGTTCTTGTGTCCTGCTGTCGGTTGTCGAGCATTTTCGTCGGCTTCCGCTGTCGTCAACTGCCGCCCCACCGCTGCTACAGGCATTGACGTATACGTGTGTCGGGTCGGGTTAACCCAAACCCGAAGCGGGTTGGATTTGGGCTGACCCGAACCCAGCTTGCCTGCTTGGGTCCCGAAGCCTTGCGTCGTGTCCCGCGTTGCATCCCAAATCTGCCCAGCGTCATGTCCCGCTGACCACTAACCCGCTTGCCCATCGTTCTTGTGTCCTGCTGTCGGTTGTCGAGCATTTTCGTCGGTTTCCGCTGTCGTCGACTGCCGCCCCACCGCTGCTACAGGCATTGACGTATCCTTGTGTCGGGTTGGGTTTGGGCTGACCCAAACCCGAAGCTGATCGGGTTAAAATCCAAAGAACTATCCCATTTGTAAAAAACGGGCTGAGTTCGGGTTGACCTGAATAGTGTCGGGTCAATTCTGGATTCGACCCAACTTGTGACCCGTGACCTGAAATTGACACCCCTAATTCTTACCAAATTTGTGGTAGATGACTTTAAGACTTCTTTATTTACAAGACCGACTCTATGATGGAATTGTGATTCTTCATATTTTTGACTTTATAATATACAAGGGCGAAACTCTATATAACCTAGAGAGTAAAAAATTCATTTTGACCCTCCTAAAAAATCAATTTTGCCCCCCTAAAAAGCTTTTTTGTCCCTACTTGTCATTGCTTAATTCATCTCAACCATACATTGCATTTTTTACTTTATCTTCTCCCAATGTATCTATATTCTATATTTTTTAATTGTTATGACAATAGGTAGTAATGAAGGCTCATTTTTTCTATGCAATAACTTTATTTTAGAAATACCTTTTGAAAGTGAGTTAATTAGTGCACAAAAAATCTCTAGAACTTGATTAAGAATATCAATTATGTATTTTTGTTTCATGTTCTTGCAATTTTTTTTTTTTTGCTTTTTTTGTAGCTAAAAATGAAGATTATGAAGTTTTTGATTCGATGCAACCACTAAAATATTTGTTATATGAAAAACTGCATAAATTTATTTTGATGCAATTTTGCGTCAAAGATGTGTTGAAGAGCCTTTATATTTATATTAAACTAAATACAATTCATGATATCATATATAAGCATTAATTTTAAGGTAAATCGACGAGCTTTTGAGCTTATTTTAATGAAAATTATAATAGGATATTCTAATACAATTATTTTGTTTATTTTTTATAAATAAACATAAAGAATTGGGTGATTCTCAAGTGTTTTTAATATAAATACAAAGTCTTTTAAGTTTGTTTTTGAACCAAATTTCATTAAAATATTCTTAATCAAAGTATTTTCTTATGGCATATAAGTAAAAATAAAGAATTAGGTGACTGAGATCCGGGTGATATGCTCATAAAAATAATAAAAATATTTAAAAAAAATCTAAAACGTGATTATCTTCCAAAACTTCTAATTAAAAATGAACCTTTTAGTATTTTATATAGCCTGCTACAGCTGCAGAAGTGACCTCTATATATAAAAATCGAAGTGGAAATCAAGTTTCCCCGCCGGCCTCCACACAAACCTCCGATAATGATTGCTCCGATTCACTGAAAATCAAAAGAAAATGGATCTGATCGCTATAAAAATCCCATTTTGAAGTCATTTGCACCGGCGCAAACCCCACGAACCAAGCACTATGGCCCCTCGGAATCATGAAGGAGGGGATTAAATAAAGAATTCGGAAGGAAAGAGAATCAATTGAAAGCTCGCTCTTCCTCCTCGTCTCCCACGGCCCCTCACTCTTCTTCCTTCTCGGATTTCTTTAATCGCGTCTTTGAAACTGGAAAGCTCTATGTGGTCCCTTCTTCTCCTTTCTCCTTTCCCTCTTTTAACCATGCCGTGTAGGAGAGAAATGGGCAGAAGGAGGCTCCAGAGGGAAGAAGGCCGCTTCTGTGAAAATGGAGAAGGAACTGGATTACTTCGAGGTCCTTGGAATCGGCCCTTCCGCGACCGAAGAGGAGATTCGCAAAGCCTATTATCTAAAGGTGTGGTTTTCGAGAGATTAAGCTATTCCCTATTTTTCATCGCTCTTCTTTTCTTTTGAGTTTTGATATGTACGATGGTCTATGCTTTTATGCTTTGGATAGTGTTAATTGAACCGAGTCCTTAAATCCCTGTTTTGATGCCTATATTCTGATTTCTTACAAGGTGATTTTTCTATCAAGCTCGATTATTATGTTTTCAATGGATATTGGGGTAATTAGATTAATCGAACTTGCGAGGTTAATATTGCATTCAAATATAAGTTTATTTAAGTTAGTTGAAAGCACTGAGTACATCTAATGATGTCTTACTGTTTGTTAGGTTATCTAATCTTCATTTTAGGTCAATTCCGATAATTGAAGACCTCTCTGTATTTTATCTTTCCATCTGAGATTCCTGAAATTGGTATACATTAGATTTTCCCAAGTGTTGTTCTAGATTATACAATGGATAGAGAATTGATAAAATATGAGCTTAGCAAATCTGTAATTGGTTGCTGTCTCTGGCGCAACAAGTACTAAATAAACCTTTTAGTATTGTTTACCAATAATTCTGAACACAGTATGATCAATGGATATTGGTGTAATTAGATTAATCGAACTTGCGAGGTTAATATTGCATTCAAATATAAGTTTATTTAAGTTAGTTGAAAGCACTGAGTACATCTAATGATGTCTTACTGTTTGTTAGGTTATCTAATCTTCATTTTAGGTCAATTCCGATAATTGAAGACCTCTCTGTATTTTATCTTTCCATCTGAGATTCCTGAAATTGGTATACATTAGATTTTCCCAAGTGTTGTTCTAGATTATACAATGGATAGAGAATTGATATTATATGAGCTTAGCAAATCTGTAATTGGTTGCTGTCTCTGGCGCAACAAGTACTAAAGAAACCTTTTAGTACTGCTTACCAATAATTCTGAACAAAGTATGAATAACAGTAAAAAAAATTCTTTGGGAAATTGAAACTAAAAAGCCTTATGTTTTTACAGGCTAGACTGGTTCATCCTGACAAAAACCCAAACGATCCAAAAGCTGCTGAGAGATTTCAGGTGGGATAATCATATACTTCTTCAATTTGACATTCATTTTTGTTTTCTAGCTTCAATAGCAAAGATTCTATTCATCGTTTCGAGTTTTGAAATGTATCTGTTGGTAATGCAAATTATCTGAGCCTGCAGGCACTCGGGGAAGCTTATCAGGTCTTATGTGATCCAGTGCAGAGAAAGGCTTATGATGGCCATGGAAAAAGTAGTGTTTCTAAGTAAGTTTTTACTTGATAACATCAAATAAGTAAACGGTTTAATGCATGCCAAAGACAGCTAAATTTTCTATAGTAATTGACCTTTATGTAAAATTGATATTTCATAAGTGCTTTAGTACATTTGGACAAAGCCTCTGTTAAGTTGATGATAACTGGCACTAAATTTGAATAGGTATACATTTGAATAATGTTCTAACTTTGTGCTGGTAACGTGTACTTTAATAAAGGTATTTTTTATATTAAAATAAAGCTTATGACATTTAACTATTTTTTCCTACTTGGTATTAACTCCACGTAGTGGGATAAAGACTTGATGTTGTTGTTGTTGGCATTAAAATGTTTTGCTCAAAATGAACACCGGCTATTTGACATCTTTAGTGAACACATCTTGCTTCACAAATTGATGCATTAAACAATTTAGCTGAGCTTGAAATGTGATTTCCTCCTGAATCAAGTGGAAAATCCATTTTAGAAATTGTAAAGTATAATCTTATACTTTTTCACTATCTTTTATTAGAGAATAATCACCACTTCATTGCTTTGAATTTTATTGTCAACTTATTCTCTCATTCTATGTTTTTGATTTATATTTTTAAAAGTTGCTGATATTTGAGTTTTGCTTAAATTTTTCAGGGAATGCATGTTAGACCCTACTTCTGTGTTTACCCTTCTTTTTGGAAGTGAAGCTTTTGAGGATTATATAAGGCTTCTTTCTGTGGCTTCAATGGCTTCTAGTGAACTTTCTAGTGAACATGAGCATACTGAGAAACTTCAAGAAAGGTTGAAGGTATGCATGCATTGCTAAATGATGGCATGAATTGATGTAAAACGTACAGGCAAGGATGAGTAAATTAAGGAGTTTGGTAGCCGTTGATCTTCGATGTCCTCATCATGAATGGCATCACTTTGTAGTTTGTAGTGGCAGCCTCCTTTTTAATTAAAACATGCAATTTCTTTATTTTTCAAATTTTATCTTCTTTGGTTTGGTGTGTAGGAAGTTTATCAGGCCTTTTTGTTGATATTATTAGTTTGATGACTTCAACTATTAGATCGCATACTCCCAACACTTTTAGTTCTGATGGAATATCTATTTCATGGAATTATGGTTTCACAAAATTCTTTTATTTCTCATTGAAGTACACTAGTGTTATAAAAGCACCAAACATGGTCAATTGCAAGGGGTGTTTCATCGCTCCGAATTTCAATGCACAACAGGAAGTGCCGCCTGTGATTTATAATGGCATTCACAAAAGCATGGCAGGTATAGGTCTAATAGCCCTTTCATTCAACTATGTTAACCTAAATAAATTACATGAACATCAGGGAATAATTACTCACAGTTTGCAGCATGAGCAATGTAGTTTAACAAATTGGAAAGGACTTTCTGAAGGAAGGGAATCATAGATGAAAAATTGAAAATGCATATAAGTTGGGCATGAGAGAGTGCAGATATTTATGAAAGTTGCATGAGAACATGGTAACTAAATAGGACTAAGGTGATAACACGATTTGTAGAAAGAACTAAATGAAGCGCAATGAACAAGTACAGGAAGAAAATTTCCTATGACTTATAATCATAACAAAGGTATACATTGGAGATTCCAAAGTAATTATAATTGTGCTGCTTAAGCGGTTGTCATTTGAGTAACTATAGCTTTTACTTGAAAGCCAAAATGAAGAAGGGAAGAATGTTTTAGCAGCTCTCTGTTTTTTGAAGTGAGGTTTGTGCTTCATTATGCTTGTATAGTAACTTTTGCTCAAAACCACAACAAAACAGGTGGCCTACCTATCAGTAGTGCTCAAATAAGCTTTTAACAAAATAAATTAATATTAATTAATTTGCATTCTGATTATGGAATGGGAAAGGTCCAACTAATGACTAATGCTTGTATTAGTTGATTGGATGGATGTTAATTCTTAGATGAAATATAATCATAACTCTAAGTCATGCATGCATTGTTAATGTGGGCTCCAAAAATTTGTGCCCAACTCTTCTAAGTGAGCTTTGCATTTTGAGTCAAATTTTTAGAAGACATTAGATTAGTAGATAAGAAACTGTTCATATATTTTGCCCTCATTTTGCGAGGACTTTATGATGTGGTTCAAGATTTCTCATAGTCACAAGCCTCTAAGGTTAAATACTCTTGATTATGAGAGAGAACTTCAGATAAAGGCTAGTTATTAGGCGCTAAATGCATAGCATATTATAGAAATAATTTTTATTTCGGATATAAAAAAAAAGCATAGCACCTTTACCTTAAGATGGATGGTGGTGGAATTATGACGTACCTGATTAAGATCCTATGGTTCTATCATCTCGAGTTATCATGATCCATAATTTACTTAGTCCCATATCCCGCAAATAATCCATCTTTAGCAGCTGCTCATAAGAAGGGTTCAGTAAATGGATTTACATAAAGTTCACTCGTTGGTAGATGAGTCACGACTATATCCTTATTAGTCTAGTTTCCTTCTGACTAAACTAAAGGTCCTCAACGTTGATGTGCTTCGAACTACCATCAAACAAACTTTCATACCGGATGATACTTGACCCAATTTGACTGAAGGATTCTTGTCGGCATCAATGGATTGTATTACCCAATTTGTTAACAAAAAAAAAAAAAAGATGAAACTTTGAATAAATGCGAAGTAACGAACCTGCCTCCGCTGGCCCCACTTCGTGTGAACTCCCCAAACGACGCAAGGCTTCGCTTCTTTAACTTCCCACATGATACAAAAACCGCTCCAGGGGTCCCTCATTTCAAATCATCCTTGCTATTCATCTGTTCGTCTTCGTTGCTTTGCAGGAGATAGAGATTGCACGCGTCTCTTCTTCGGCTCCCTGCCACTGTTCGGCTTCGTTGCTTCACAAGAGATAGAGATTGCACGCGTCGCTTCTTCGACTCCCGTTGCTGTCCGACTTTGCTTTGCAGGAGGTGCGGAGCTCGCACGAGTCGCTTCTTCCAAATCTTTGTTGTTGTTCGGCTTCAACCCCTTTATTGCTGTTCGGCTTCGTTGCTTTGCAGGAGGTATAGAGATTACATGAGTGGCTCCTTCAACTCCTTTGTTATTGTTCAACTGTGCTCCTTCCACGACTACCCAAGCTGAACCCAACCATGTCTTATCGAGTTCCCCCCTCCCTCTCTTTCTATTATATAACATATATTATATAATATTATATGATATTATACATATACATATTATAAAAATGATATAAAAAGGATAAAATAGAAGATATAATTTCAAATAGGTGTCAAAGACCTCGTGTCGTTGACTTTAAGTTCGACCGAGATGATTTTTTTTCGAAGACTCCATGCAGTCGATCTTAGATCCTGGTGGAATGAATTAAAATTCGAAGACCCGAGCCGTGATCTTAGATCCGGGCGGATGTTTTTAAATTTGAAGCCCCCGCGCTATTGATCTTAGATCTGGACGGGATGAAATAAAATTTGAAGACCCCATGCTGTCAGTCTTAGATCCTAGTGGGATGATTTTAATACGAAGACCCTACGTCGTTGACCTTAGGTCCGAGTAGGAAGAAATTTCGGCAAATGCCGTCCCGATTTCTCCTCCAGTGGGGAGGGATGTCGGGGGGCTGCCGAAATTTATGGGAATATAACTTTAAAGTTATGAGAGAATAGTCCAAAATCTAAGAGCGATTGATTTGAGAATGATCATGTTTTGAAATCAAATTTTAATAAATTGGTTAATTTACTTAACTAATTAAAATTTCAATTATAATTTAAAATTAAATTGTTTGATTAATTAAAATTAAAATTAAATTGATTGATTAATTAAATTTAAAATTTAATTTAATTTAATCAATTAATTTAAAATTATATTAAATTTTTAATTGAAATTTCTGGTAGTTAATTAAAAATAATTAACCATTTAAATTTCAAATTTAAATTTAAAATTTAATTTAATAAGTTAATAAATCTATTTTAAAAATAATTGCTATTTAATTGAGCGATTAATCAATCAATCAATCAATTAAATATTAATTAATTGATGAAATTATATTGAGCATAAAAAAAAGGGCAAGAAAAGAAAGGGCAAGAAAAGAAAACACTATTTTTTTTACTAATTGACATACAACACTACTCTTCAAACTCTCTAAATACATGTACAGACTGCTCTCCAAATAAACAACTATCAACTCAAACAAGTACAGAACAACATTATGCTAGCACTCCAAGTTCCTTCCTGTACGAGTTCCTGAAGCTATCTACGAGCTCCCTGGACTGCTGCAAATACCGCATACCTGCAAACAAGCAGATAAAAGTCAACACAATTATAAATGGAAATTAATATTAAAAAATAACAAATCTAGTTACTAGTAAGACAAAAGTAATATAAAGCAAGGAAAACAATGTATTGAAAAAAAAAACTAGTAAAGTAATAGTGTCAGGAAAATGAGTAGAGTAGTAGACTACTGTAGTAAGAAAAGACTACAAGTGCATAACAACTAAAATACTGAAGCCATTGTCAAAATCACAAACTCATACGAACTCACAAACCTTTCAAATTCTTTGAGTAAAAAATCATAAACAACTAACATCCTCTCAACAAACACAATAAAAAACAAAATTCCTGGGCAACATTGTTTATAAGAACTTGGTTGTAAGACTCATTACCGGCAACTTTCAAAGGAAAGTAGTAAGCCCGACCTTATGGGAAAGTTTTAGGTAAAATTGACCTAACCACTAACCCCCGATTAAAATGCTAGCCACTTCTAATAGAAGCCGTAAGTCCGACCTCTGAGAAAAATGTTTAGATAATAACATAACTCTAAACTCCTCACCCGGGCATCCTAGTTTATAGGGCTTGATTGTAAGACCCACAACTCGGGCCACTTAGCTGAAAGGGCTAGGTCGTAAGACCCATTATTAGACAACTTCTAAAGAAGTAATAAGACCCACCCAACTGAAATCTTCGGGCTACCCTTAGTAGAGTCCGTAAGTCCCACTAACTGGGCTACTTTCTATTGAGAGCCATAAGTCCCTACCTAAATCTAATCCCATGAACAACTCTCCTTAAAAAATCAAGGCAAAAGCCTCAAGAGAGAATTTCATCTTTAAATAATGCTTTGAAATACATTAATTATGATACTAATCCCATCTTGGAATCATGTGGAATTTCTATTGTAATATCTTCTACAAAAGACACAAATTTCATGGGCATCTTAGTATAAAAGATTAAGTTGTAAGACCCGCTTTGTAGGCTACTTCTTAAGGGAAGTTATAAGACCTACCTAAACAATTAAAATTCCTGGGCTGCCTTGTTGTAGAGTTAGATTGTAAGACCCATCTTTGGGCAACTCATAAATAGAGCAATAAGCTCCATTCCAAATCAAATGTCTATGTTATTTTCTATGAAAGTCGTAAATTCCAACATAAATTTAAATCACTGGTCTACTTCCTAAAGAAGACATAAGTCCCGCTCTAATCCAAACTCTTGGGTTACTTCTAAAAGAAGTCATAAATCCCAAACTAAATCAATATTTGAGTATTCTAATAGATGTAAACCCCAAAACACCCAACAAAATTAAAACTAAAATCCACATTTAACCACTTCAATATACTCGGGATTCCTGAGAGGAGGCAACACATGGCTGCTAATCAGATTCCCTGGACACTACGGTCAATGATTGTTAGTGTTGGTAGACTGAAAACTATGGTATACCCGGGACGACAGAACTATGAGATATTGATTGGGTTTACCTCTACTTTCTCCACAATTCAGACTAAATTACCTAAAATTTATTCATCCTTAATAGAGAGTTCTCTTTTACATGTTAAGAGGGATAATTAACTATGAGCGCTTGCGCTCATAGGAAGTAAGGACCCCAGAACTTTAAACCCTGACACTACCTTCAGGAAAAATCTGATTAATTGTAATCTGACTGAAGGAAAATGGAATCCTACAGTTGCAAGGCAGGATTCATACATTCGTGCCATTTTTCTTGAGCGATCACAATTGTAACTTGTAGATATGGGATGAGTTTTTGACTTAAGAGAATAATTTTAAGTCGATCTTTCTTGACAAAGGGCCTTGTGCTCTATCAAAGTGCATAATATAATTTACAACTCAGGGGGCTGGAGCCATTGTGGAATAGTTGGGCTTTGGCCATAACTTAATATATTTGCGCCATTTTGCAACGACACTTGGAGGGCCCCTATTGTAATCATATATCTCTGGTGCCATGTGTTGATAAAATCACATGTATATGTGCAATGTCTTTACAGTCATGAAATCTTTTAAGTGAGATCATAGTGATACACTTGATAAGACATTCATTTTTTGTGAACAAATATTAGCAAAACAAGGCCTTGTTAAGTTTGCCTTCTTGCTTAATAGATGATTGTATTCGAAGGTTAGCTTTACAAGTTGCCTTACAAGTGAGGTGAAGTTGGTAGCTGGCATTTTTTTTAATGAATTTTTGTAAGAGGCTTTTAAGGCTTAATTCGAATGTCAACATATGTGCATGAATTTTGTAAATTTTGTATTTTTGTGTTCATTCATAAATTATTTAATTGTTAAGCATGAAGCATCTGATATTGGCTCTGCAAATATGTCAACCATGTGGAGAACTAGGGGAATTTACTTAATAATGCCATGATTACTGTAACATGTTGGAGAACTAATAGAATTTACTTAATAATGCCATGATTAATGTAACATGTTTGATCTTTTATACATTTTGTAAATAAATTCCAAAATTTTGTAATAAGAGAAAACCTAGAAATCTAGAATTCACCCAAACATTTGACTTAACATTAAGGGTTTAAGCATTAAGCATGAAATATTTGATTTTCTCTAGCCAAAATATTTGCCTGGTTGGAGAATTTTGGGGAGTTATAAAAAATAATTTCACATTTATTAGCACCTAGGGTTGTTTGTTTTAAGTTATTAGAAGTTTAAAGTAAAAGGAATACATGTTTTTTGAGTTTTAGGTAATTGGTATGGTAAAATAAATGAGCAACTTTTTTATATGAAGTTTATAATACATCAAAAGGCTCATTTTTGATGAATTTAGAATTCACAGTATAATTGTGAATTCCAAATTCATTGTTTGCGACATTGTCCTTCATGAAGCCATCCTTGTGTTCGCCAACACTATCATTGTCTTCCTCACATCTTTAGTTGCTTTTGTTTCCGTGTGTGTCGTTGCTGTCGTTCATGCATACGTCGTTACCATCATTCTTGCGTTTGTTGTCGCCATTCCTGCTTTCTTCTGATGTGGCTGCTTTTCCCTCTCGCTTTCGTTGGCACTATCATCCCCGTAGCCTGTCTTCATCCTTCTTATGTCCTTAGTCGTTTCCATTTTCGTGTTTTTCGTCGTTGTTATTCTTGCGTCCTCTTTCGCCTTCATCCTGTGTCCTCCTTTGTTGCTATTCATGCGTCCAATGGTCCAACAACATATTAACCCAAGACCTTGGGATACTTGCATCCCTATGTTGCTGCTGACACAATCCTTGCCGTTCAATGTTCTAGATTCATTTAATATATATATATATATATATTATAGTTAACCAAATGCAAAAAGAATTTTTTTTTTCTGAATTTATTTACAACTATCCAAACTACTACTAGTATCCAAATGAGTTATATTTAAGTTGCTTTGCATTTAAATACACATGGATATTAAATTCTTGCAATCAAATGCCCCTTCTAAAGTAACTTCTCAATATACATTAGAGAGAAATTTATTAATCTTATGTATTAAACTTGGTCGGCTTTTTATTTTTGATGAAGGCATTGCAGGGGGAAAGGGAAGAGAATCTCGCAAGATTTTTGAGAGATTTTCTTAACCAATATGCATGTGGTGACAAAGAGGGATTTTCCAAACGTGCAGAAGCTGAAGCAATACGGCTATCAAGCACAGGTTGTCTTCAAAACTTTATTTTCCTCTACAGTTGCTACTCAATGAACTTTGCTGGTTAGTCATATCCTCTAGTTGCTAACATCCAACATTTAACTACTTACCTACCGCCTCTTTATTCAAGCATTGCCATGTGCCCCTTTCTATCCAGACTAACATGTCGATGGAGAAACTTCAAGTTCTTACAATTCAATGCTTTTAGTTCTTTCGACGCTAGTGATAAATAGTTTTGATTTTGATGAATGTACCAATATCTGATATTTCCTTTTCGCTAAGTTCATTCAAATTAATGAAGTTTATATGCATTCAAACGTACACTATCGCTTTTTCTTTCTGATGGTTGCCAAAGTTTTTTCTAAGATGATGGTGATTTTGTTGTGGTTTCTATTCACAATTGTTTCTTTTACTGGTCTTTTTGGTGACTCTATCCTCCATTTTGTGGGGAAAGAAGGTAGGGATGAATAATGGCTTTCTGTGAATATTTTGATTATTCTGACTGTGAAGGTGCTTTATAAATTGTGAACTTTGGGATATCATTCTGTGTCTCATAGCTTAGGCTTGAATGAAGTAGCATCTTCTCCTAGAAATTAAATGTTATCAAACCAATCATTTTTATACAATCATATTATGAACACTTGATGGTCTATATTGTTTTTGATTATTTACTAATTCAGTATCTGAAGTTTAAAATGGTGAACTTTGCAAATAAATGCAGCTCTTGGTGCTGATATCCTACGCACAATTGGTTATGTGTATTCTAGACAGGCTGCAAAAGAGCTGGGGAAGAAGGTTATGTATCTTGGGGTTCCATTTTTTGCCGAGTGGGTGCGAACTAAAGGACATACATGGAGATCACAGATCACTGCAGCAAAAGGTCAATGTGCTGTTATTATCCGGGCAACTTCTGCTTGCATTTTTGCTAACCATTATACTTTGTAAAATATACCAGGTGCTTTGCAATTACTGCAACTGCAAGAAGATGTTTGCCGTCAATCTAATGGTGATGGCTATGCTACAGAAAAAGATGTTGAAGTAAATATGGGTATGAAGAAGGACTTGATGAACTCTTTGTGGAAAATAAATGTGCTTGACATTGAAGTAACTCTTTCACATGTTTGCCAAATGGTATGTAGTAGCATTAGCCGAACTTTGTCATAAGTTTTTGCATGAATGCCAAGAATTATATATATATATTAACAACTACTAGAATTGACATGAGAAATATGCAGCTGTGGAAGAAGTTTTTTTTTGGTTTTCCAGCAAGGCATTTTGTTCTAATGATAATAAATCTTGTCAAGCTATATTTTACTCATCTTTTTCTTTTTTATCTTTGTTTTTTGAATGCATGTCTTTCAACCTCTCTGAATAGTATTTATCTTTGATAACATTGTTTTATCATCTTGAGAAATAGAAAAGGCAATGAACTCATTGTGGAAAATAAATTTAGTACAGTTTGAAGTGACCATTTAAAAGGTATTTTGTACGATTAGATAAATGGATTATGTCTCTAAAATTTTGACATGAAGTTAAGGAAATACATCACGGATGCAAATTAGAAGCTTAGTTTTACGAGGCATTGCATGTTAAACTCATTTATTTCCAGCACTAAAGAAGGTTGCTAGGAATCTTTCTTTTTATATTATTCAATCCATCTGGTCCTTTATTTTCTTCATTTTTCTATTTTTCTTTTTTAGGAATACATGCATTCAGCCTCCTTAATAGCACTTTAGATAATTGTTGTATGCATCCTGGAGTGATCCGCATTCACAACTTTGAGCGATAAAGCACTAAATTAGCCACAAATAATTTTATTCATTCAATATCAATAATTAAATCAATTACATAGCTTGGGTCTCTATTTATAGAAAATAAGATATCATGGATGAAACCAAATTTTTAAACGGAAATCTAATCCCATCCTATCAAACAAACATTCAAATTTAAACATTTTCTTGTCTAAGAGAGAATAAAAATATAACAAAATAATTCAAATTTAAGAATTATGAAAATTTTGGCTATACTTAAAAATGGCCCAAAAGGGGCTTGAAAATGAGCCCAATTTAGGTTTGTTTTATCCCGGTTCAACTTCATGTAATTGGTTGTCTCCACTAGGGCTTTTGTGGACTGTTTTGACATGTTTGAATGCTTGTACTACAACTCATTTGATCAACAAGGAACTCTTCTTTTGAATGGCTCGTTGGAGGTGGCTGAGAGAGTGGAAGTGGCAACACTGGAGCATCTAAGGGGAGAAGTGACCTTGGAATAAGAGGGAGCATCAAGAAAGACAATATATATCTAATATAACTCGTTGGGCGGTTCCAAACATCATAAACTTGTATGATCTTGGTAATGTGGACCAACATTGGATTCAAATGTGACAACAACGGTGACACTACAAAATTCTCGTCTAAAGTAGCTTGCCTCTTGAAATAATGGTAAATGAATTAGAGCTATAGCTACAACAAAATTTGTAGGAGTAATTGTCTCTTGCTAAACAGCATTCTCAGGCTCAATAGGAATCTTAGGTGCTGATAACTCACTCATATTCTCAAAGCTCAGTTCATCATTAGAAAGTAGAGTGCCTATCATAAACATCTTCTTACAAATCATTATTACAAGGAGAAGGGTTAGAATTTTATGGCACATCTTGTTGAAATGGAGTCAAAAGGAATTTGTATGGTGTGTAGTGGATTGTGCGAAATCTTAAAGTGCAATTTTGAAATGGAGTTTCGCATATCGTATCTTCGCATATACTTCATTAATATGAATCGGAGGCTTTCATCATAAGCATGTGAATTACAGTCAACATTGGAAGAGTTGGGATGAAGAAAACCGAAGGGGTAAAAGGTTGACAATCACAAATGCACTATTCTTGATTTGCAAAATAATATTGATCTTCATAATAGGTCGACATTAAAACCTAAGTAGTGAAGAAACTAATAAAATTTCTCGAGAGAGAGGAGGGAGCGGTGTCAGAAAGTAAGAATAAGGAATCTCTATTCAAATTTTTATTTATAATTGAATGTCTATTTATAATGCTTCATATCTTTACTTATAGAAATTGGGCAATATAGATATTCAAATTTAGATCTAAATAAATCGGATGATAGAGACAAGTATTTTAATGAGACCTAAAGAAAAGGATAGTTCTAAATTTAATGTAGAAATAATTGAAAAATGATTAAATAAATCCAAAAAAATCTTGTTGCATGTCTTGTAATCCATCAATAATATTGCTTTATCATATTTGACATTAAGAGGCTATCCAAGAAGCTCTTCTTTTATCAAACATTTTCAATGAAGATTGATTCTCTTTGACTATGAAAAAACTTTCAGGCCATGCTCCTTTATATCTGTATGTAATAGATTGGCACGAAGCAATATATTGAATCACTTAGGTATTGTTTGGGATTGTTTAAGCTTTTCTATTTTTGCTTTTAAAGGCAGAAGTTTGAAATAGAGGTGAAAAAACGGTATTCTAAACACGTACTATTTTTTTACAAATTGCTTTTCTTATCACGAAAGCAGTCGAAAAGTTGTACTCCAATATACTATTGCTTTTTGACTGCTCTCATAGTAAGAAAAATAGTTGGTAAAAATAGTCTTTGGAATACAACTTTTCAACTACTTTCGTGATAAGAAAAATAATTAGTAAAAAAATAATATGTTTGAAATAAACTTTCTTACTATTTCAAAAATTTGCCTTTAAAAAGTTATTTTTTGGAAAAACTTTTTTGAAATTCTAGTTGAGAAAGGAGCTTTAAAAAGCAAAAATAGAAATTAAATTGCCTCAACAAAAGCCTTAATCATTAAAACCCTGATCTCCCTTTCTTGTTTGTATTATATTCCAAGCCTTATAGAAGTCATGTTCGCCAGTGCAGTAATAAAATTTTCATATAGGTGTTGCAAGAGAACAATGTAAAAAAGGAGGAGCTGAAGGCTCGAGCAATTGCTCTGAAAGTTCTTGGGAAACTTTTTCAGGTATGTTGATTGCATAATGCATTTGAGTAATATGTGCTATATGAGCTATTTCTGTGTGCAAAATCATAGACATCTAGTTGTGCTAGATATTTTAATTTGTTTGGTCATTAGCTTCCTGGTAAATGCAGTTGGTCATTTAAATCTTCCAGTACACCTTTTTTTTTCCATAATAATTTTAATGTTGAGGTTTCTAAAATAAAACATAACTGATACTATATGAGTCTTGTTCACGTTATTCCGTTCGTATCACTATTAAGCCTAGAATCACATTAAGTTGACCTTATTCAAGCGTTGGATCCTATATCTGCTTCTGCTCTTTTTGTTGTGCAGCATTTATTTTAGGGAGATTTACATACATACCATCATATACTATTCTATTTATATATTTAACACCTAAACTTTAATATTACATACATATCACCCATAGTATATTTTCATATCAAATATAAGTGATAGATATGAAATATATGAGTGGTAGAAAGAAAATATGAGTGACATATTTGATATTAATGATATAGGGTGTTATGTATGTAATATTAATGTTTTGAGTGTTAGATATGTAAATAGAATGGTATAAAGTGATATGTATGTAAATTTTTCTTTTTTTAATATTATGGTTGAATTGTTTTCGTGCTATCCTCTATTGGGCTATTCCTTTGCAGCCTTGAAATTAGAACTCTTCTCTAATCCAGGTTTTTTTTTGTTGCTGATTGCATACATGGTCTTGCTAAGCTTGGTTATAATTATGCCAATTTTTTCTTCTTTTTTTTCCTTATGTTTTATTTAAAGATTAAATGGATTATTATTTTCATGATGTGGTACTACCTTGTTCTGGTCAGGTATCAAACAGCCACCTGCTTGACTCAATCAATTAGCTCTTTCTCAAACCTCCTTTAGCTTAAGCTTGAGCTTGTCTCATTTTATTGAGCTCAAGCATCTCTCATTTGAGCCTATTTAAGCTTGAGCTGGACTTAGTTAATCGAACATGAGCATGAACCACATCTGGCTTGAGCTTGTGTTTGACCCAATAAGTTGAGCTTGTTATGCTCAATTCAGTATGTTTGAGCTGGCTTACTAATTGGATTGTCTCCTTGTGAAAGAGAGAAGATGAATATACATTTAAGGCATTGCAAATGATGAAACTATTGAAAAAATGATAAATTAGAGCAAAAAGAAAGATCACATAGGGTAGAGAGAGGGGCACTAGGATTTGCAAGATTTTTTTTTTTTTACATATTTTTATAATTGATGCCTTGAATTCTAATATTTTCATATATGTTCAACTCTAGCATTTTTAATCAAGTTTGATCATGAGCTGTCTATGCTAGTTCAAGTTTGCACAAGCTATTTATCAAGCTATGCTCGAGTTGGCATACAAGCTGACTCGGTTCAACTATACCCTTAGTTCTAGTGTTTTAAGTTCCCAATAAATCATCTTTATAATTACTTAGCATTAATATTATAGGAAGCACATGGAAAGTTAGGGGCAATTTAAGTTGTCTAGTGTATTATAGAGATCCAAAGTTTGCATCATTGAAATAACCTCTTTGCAAATACATGGATGAGATTTTGTACATCATTCTCTCAAGCCTTGCATTAGCGGGAACTCCATGGAGTGGGTAATTTTGTAAGTATTCTAGATAGTCCGCACTAAGATCAAAGGAGGTATATTTGGAGTCTCTAGTCTTTAAGGCGTGCCATCAGTACTCTATCCAAGTAGCTATCATGTTGTGCGTGTCACTCTTGCAATTAGCTTTTGTTGATTAGTACACTAAAGATGCACGAAAAGGGCAAAAAATGGGCAATTTAAGTGACAGTCGGCGGGCGCGACACATCACTTAAATGGTTAAATGACATCTTATTGCCAAACAGACTGCGCCGTTGCGACCAGAGCGTCAATTTCGCCTAAGAGGGAGCCCTCAAAATCGAATCAGGCAAAAGAGGTCAAAATCAGCGACCGACACCAAAAATCGACGCGCGACGCTGCCCTAATGACGTCCAATCACAAAACGAACTTCGCTGTTGCGTTTAGAACGTCGAAAATATCCAAAATTGACTATAACTTTGCTTAACGAAAATCGTGCGAGGAAATCAACGTGTATCCTAAGACAAAATGCATGGATTTCGGGGTAGCAGCACATAAATAGAGATAATGATTAATAATAATAATAAAATTATTATTGTAGTAATAATTATTATTATCAATTAATAATTTAAATTAAATTAAAAAAAGGAAACATCATCATACCTATATCCTACTCAAATCCTGTAGTCAACCACCCTTTATTTTGCTCAGCTCAACGTCGAATGGTCTTGTCTCCTTGCTCTACAAGTCGCAAATCAATCGCCTAGATTGCGGCCTCCTCCCTTTGATAAAATGAAGACAAAGCGAAGCCTCTGATTTCTTTGTTATGCACAAGAACTCCCAACTGCTCCATCTCCTCTCTTCACTTATTTGCTTCTTCAACATACAAGAACTCCTGCGATTCAAAATCTCCTGTGCTAATTTCTTTTTGTTCAATTCCTCCACAGCCGCAAGTTCGTCCACAACACTTCGAACCACACGATCCCTCCAATGTGTCGTTCGACTTCTTGATTACGCCAAACAACTCATGCCTACAATCCGCTCCTCCACTAGCAGTCGACCTCTAGATCCTTTTATGTGAATAGATAGGAGTAAACACGGCTCGAATCGTCAAATAAATATACGGTTATAACACTAACAGGGATATTTATTTTATACGTTTATATTAGGTCTTCAAGGCCTATTATAAGAAAAAGTCACTAATGTAAACATAAAGCCAATAATGAACCCGATCTTATGTCAGCAAATAGACATAGTTGATAAAGTTCAACTGATAAAGTAAAATTACCCATATGTATCTCAATGATGATCGTGTTGATAAAAAATCTCAATCCGAGGGGACCTCAAATATTCAAAAATGCCTCCTAAATTCTCATGAAAATTCAAAACTAAAAAATCATCAAAACTTAAGACATTTGAAATTGAAATAAAAAATATCAAAATACTTAAAGAAAAATACACGTTCACTCTCCGCAATAGTTTGCTGAGGTGGATAAGTTTGAAAATCACTTCATCTTACAAAGAGCAAATGTCTGGTCGAGAATATTACTATGATTTATTCTCAATCCGTCTCTTACCAGTAAGCGTGGCACGTGTCCTCTAACTGGTGGTTTCGCCGCCAAATGACACCATTGGTAAATAGTTATGATAGGGTGGTTTTGCTTCATATGACACCATTAAATTACGGTGATGGGCAGAGCCCATATGTTTCCCAACGGTTTCAAATCCTTGCGTAATGAATCAATAGGATATGATCTATTAGGCACAAAACCCTATATCAGTGAAGGTATATTTAAATTTGTTCCTTTAGACAAATATTCATCCCGGGCCTACAAGGTACCCTTGGATGAAGCAACCCATGGATGCCAATAAGAATCCTTCTTTCAGGTTGGGCAACTATATACTCTGACTTAGTAAACTAGGGATCTGGATGACCCTGGACAATAGAACGATAGGATTTGGATCGGGTTTATCATCATTCCCCTACCATTTGCTTTAAGTGCAAGGTGATGAATTTCTAATTTTAATTACCTAAACATGTTGTTACTATACACTAGATACTATGTATCTATTTGATCGCTAGCCTTAATCGAAAGTTCTATCTCGCTATCAAGAGGGGTAATTAACTATAAGTGCTTTGCGCCTATAGGAAACCTGAACTCGGATCATAAAGTCCTCACAAAACGAGGGCGAAATCTCTGGGTATTATCTTATTCAAAACCCAATCTACCTTATGAAAATTTGCCTAGGAACTTAAGTGTTAAAACTCTCCTCGACGACCCAGAAGAAAGAAAGAGACTGCGGAGAGGCCGGTGGCCGGGGCGCGAATTTTCGGAGCCCACAATTTTCTTCTCTTCATTTTTCCCTTATTTTTAAAGTTTTATTTTATCACAAAACCATATTTACCAAAAGCTCATTACTAAAGCAAGTTGATGAGTTGATCTAACAAATTTAGCTGCACATGACTTGGACTGTTAATGAAGAGAGCTTCTCTCGGAACTAAATAGACAGGGCATCAAACCTGTTCAAGTTTAGTTGAGTCAGCCAAAGTTGCTAATATGCTTATATTTTTTTCTTTTTTCTTGAAGCTCGAACCAGCCTTTTCTTTTGAAGTTAAGGGACAATACCACCGGCCATATGCCAAGTGATATTGATCATTAATGTCACTATACGTCACAACAGCTTGCAGATAAGAAAATTATATTGAACATAAGAGCAGATGCTGTTAGAGAATTCACAGTTAGCTATAATAGAAACCCATATTAACATGGGGAAATGAGAAACGACAGATCTTGAAGAGAATCCATAAATGCCATCCTTCCTAAACTATTTTAGTCTTTCGAGAAGTTACGAGTGTGACAATACCTTGCTATAATGTGATTTTTTTTTCTTTTGGTTACCTTAAACGAAACATTCTATTAAGTGCAGGGGCCTAAAAACATTTTCAAGTACTCACATGTGTGTTATTTGAATATTGATTGTAACTCTATGGGATAAGATTCATGTTACTATGTACCTGTATTGACAAAGGAACTCTTGTGATCACATCTTTCTTTGCAGAGAGAAAAGAATGCATTACCTCCTGTTGGCACATCCAAAGCAGGAAATGATTCAGATGATGAAGATGATAGCAGCTCCAATGATAGTTCTGTTGAGGATCTGCCCAGACCTCTTTCATATCGAACTCCTTTAATCACTCAGGCATGCTAAAAAAACTCATATTTCTTAGAAGGAAAATATAATGTTGTCTTGCTTTTAGTCGTCAACTAGACTGAGGGGCTGTTTGGTAGAATCTAGGATTTCATTTAAGTAGGATTTCGTAAATCCTCCAAATTCGGATTTACGAAATCATGGAGGGGTTAAATCCTGAAAACTGTTTGGTAACATTCATGATAAATCTAGTTAAATCCGGTGTGACTGTTTGGCTATGCAAGTCAGGATTTAAGACAGTTAAAAGATTTAACTTTCACCGAATCCAGCCTTAAATCCTCTCGCGCGAATAAGAAGTTAAATCCGCCGAATTGATGGATTTGCGAAATCCGGGATTTACCGCAAAAGGTGGTCTTTTTCTGTCAACCGCGGATTCCATTTACCGTGAGATTTGGATTTGCATTTTAGGCCGTTTGGCTGGATTTTACCCGAATCTGGCCTAAATCCGCATACCAAACAGCCCCTGAGTGTGATAATTCCTTTCAAACAATTGGCTTCGTTCTTGTTTGGGAAAGAAAAATTAATCTTTTCCATTGCATGCTAAATTTTTGGTCTGCTCATTATGTCTATACTTTGTCTGGTTAATTTTCTCATTAGCTGCCAGCTTTCATCACACCTTTGGCTACAAAATCAGATGTGAGTTCATATTAATACATAAACATTTGACTATGAATGTGCGTTCATTAGCAAAGTAGAAAACACATCACCTCAAGGATTAAATAATGGGTTTTGTTCCGTCTTTCAACCTAGAAACTCTTGTCATTTGCAAAAGCGTCAGGTAAATCATTCTAGGATTGTGAAAGTAAGTTGATATTTGAGGTTTGCAAATGAAAGTAGACTCCCATTTAGCAAATTTATGTTCATGTTAATGAAGAAATTCATACCTAAAGAACTTGAGGCATATCTTTTGCTCATTATGTTATAAAAAGATTGCTCTAATAACAATTTGATTCAAACTTGATTATGTGCTTTTATTGATGTTCTTATTAGTTTTTTTCTCTCAAATTATCTTTAGATTGCTTTTTGGGTTCTTGATTCCACTTGTTAATGAGGAGAAAGGGATTGGATTGGAGAGAAGTTATTTTGCCAAATTTTTTAAAAGGGGACTGGCTTTCAAGTTTCAACATCTTGGGATTAGCAACTTGGAAGTTTTTTGTGAGGAAAGAGAGAGAGAATCACCGGGGAGAGGAGAGGGAATTTAAGATGAAAAAGGAGATTGATAGATATCAAAATTACAAGCACTCAAATCCTTATTAAAATAGGGTTTGAGTGCTCAAAAAATTCATGCCTCGATTTTGTTGCAGGTGTTTTGGCGGTTTTGAATCAGATTTTCAGAAGACATATTATGCTGAAGATAAGACTTCGCTTAGAGATTTTGTTCTCATTTTTTAAGGACTTTATGATATATTTTTAAGTTTCTCATATGGTTTATTAACCCATTTGGTAACAAGAGAGAACTTTCAATTAGTACTAGTCATTTGAAGCGAAGCATTTAGAGTATAGAATATCAATGAGAGTTCGAGCTGACTTATTTACTATAATATTGAAGTAAATATTATAATAAAATTATGAAAAATTAGAAGAAAAATAATAAAGAATGATTGGAGGAGACAGGAAGAACTCATGTGGCAAGCCTACTAAGGTAATTTGGGCCATAATAAATAGTCACGATCCTTAGGGGACTGTGCACAACATGAGGAAATATTGATAGGATGTATTGTATATGACGAGTTCTACTCGTGGTCATTCACTTTTCCTTATTGCGAGCTTTACCCCTCTATTTATAGAGATTTTGTAGAATGATTGACCACCATTAAGTTGAAATATGGAGTATAATGTCATGACTCGGTCTAGAGTTTCGAATTAATGAGGTAGGAACGCACGATCAAACATATTTCATAATTCTTTGAACAACAATTAACACTCATCAAAATAAACATCCAATTTTAACGGAAGAGTTACTAAAATAATTTTCAATCTGAGTATATGATAAAATAATTCTTAACTATTTTCAGTTCACTATCTTTTTTTCTTTGTTCATGAGGCGAAGCTTAGGCCTAAAAAAAATGCGTAAAGTGAAATTAAATATTAAAAATAAAATTTTTTATATAATACTCAAATAATATGTTAAAAAATAACATATTAATTTTCTATTGAACTATGATGTAACAAATTAACATACATATGAAAAAAAAAATTGCACAAGATATAAAGTAGTAAGTAATAAATTGTGTAAAATAGAATTGGAATCCAAATATTAAAAGAGCAAAATAATATAAAACATAAGAATTGCATAAAAATATGAGCTTTTTTCACAATGCAGATTTGTTGTTTTTTTTTTCCTTTCTTGAGGCATTATTTGCTGCTCTTGCCATATCTGCTTTTCTATTTTTGGTGATTCTCATGACGAATTCTTTCTCAAAAAAAGTTTCTGCCACTTTCGCTAATAAGATGAACTTCTCATTGCAAATTATATCCATATTTCATCTCATATGTTTCTCTTGGTTAGGGCATTGGTCGGCTCTTTAGATGTCTTTGCAACCCAGCATATGATGTTGCAGACGATGAACCTCATAACAAATGATGAAATATCCATAAAAACCAAGGAGTTATGCGACAGCAAAAATTTTATGGATTCTTTTATATGTTATTTTTACACGTTTTGGAGTAATTTGCCATTATGTATATGGGATTATTCTCTTAATCTTGTTTCAACTTACTAGAAGGCTATTGCTAAATTTGTCCATTGAACATAACTTCAGTTGTATAATTTATTTGCTTTCATTAAAGTTCTTAATTTTTTTATTCAAAGTAACCATATTGCAAATATTTTGTAATTGATGAGTTATATAGTTAAAAATGTTGCAAAATGAATGAAATTTTATCTTGACTTTCAATTTGCATGAACTACCAGTGCTTAATGGAATTAGAATGACCTCTATCAGTTAAGGCCCTATTTTGTTAATAATCAGCTGTTATTTTTGCTTGAGCGGGCAGAGAAAGGATTTGAGCTGATTCAATCTAGCGAAGATTCGGAAGCTACTTTAAGAAGCAGAAAGAAAGCCTTCTCAAACGAAGCCTAAATTGATTCAAAGCTACTTTTTTTCGGTCTTGGCCGTAGCTAAGCCTTTTAATAGGGTTGCTAGATTCTATCTTGATTTGAATTGGGCCTAATTCATCAATTTCAATTTGAGATCAGTGCAAGCTAAAAATAACTTCATTTTTTTATTTGAGTTTGAATTGTTAGCTTGATTCACTCTATACCTGAAACAATTCAAATTTGATTAGAATTTGATTTAGGGCATTATCATTCAACAAAAATCTATAGTACAATGGGGATACTGAAGAACAAATACTATTTCAGCAGTTGATGGCCCTACTACCACATAAATATTGCTGCAGTAAAGGGAAGCCAAGCTAGAAAGTTTTTTACAATTATATATGCAAGGCAATTTTTACAGGTCAACACTAGGGAAAATTATTCTGTGCGGAATCCGAACGTGTTCGGAGGCGAATCCGGGCATGCCACATCACTGGGGCCCAGTGCATCCGGTGGCGTGGCGCATCGGGATTCATCTCCGAATACATTCGGATTCCGCACAGAATAATCTCTCCAACACTATGACCTGTAAATACAATGTGAGAAACTAATATCCCTGTCATCTCTATCTTACAAGGGCATGACTGAATTAAGAGATGCATACCATTAATGCAGAAATCTCCCAAGAAAACTCCCAAAGGAGAAACTGGTCTTAGACAATCCAGATGACTTGGGGGGCTTTGTGCTGGAAGGCACTCTCTTCACATTAAGCATTACAGTTTGCCCTATCTCTCGGCGAAGTGCCTCTACCATCTTCATCTCTACTGGATTTCCTGAAGCATCCCTTACATAGAACACATTCATGGCTTGTTCCCCAATTGTGGTTACGTCAGCTCTTGTTACAGAAAGTCCTTGTTCTCTTAGAATTCTCGTGACATCAGATAACAAGCCCACTCTATCCCTCCCACATATTTCAAGGCTGAAGCCCTGCCATCAGCACAAAAGCTAAGTATTATCTCACGGGTTGAAGAATTAATAAGTGTTTCTGAAATAAACTTCATTTTTTTTCATGTCAATACTGTTTGGTTTAGGTATAGAATGTGGATTGTATAGATGTCATTAAAGTAGCAAGACATAGTTGAGGATAGGGAAGCATGAGGGCATTATATAACAGTAAATTCGACACTTCGAATGTAAAAATGAACCAAGAAAACTATTAAGCTACATGATCATCATAGTTTACATTTGTTTGAATCGTTGAGAACTATAGTTTTGTTAGCTAATACTCTTTAGTTTTGCTTTTGAAGGTTTAAAATATTATAATTTTGGTTTGTATTGAAAACTTGTGATGCTGCTATATGTGCAGCTCCTCTATGGTTTCATGATAGGGGAACATGTTTATGGTAGAAGTTGGCCATCACTTTTATATAATTATAGGCTTATTTCATGCAAAATAACATAACACAACAACAACACAATATTATAACAAATCCACAGTTTCATATACTTGCAATTTTCCTGTAAAACAATGAATGGAGTAAATGAACTAAGCATTCTGATAGGAAGTGGATGCAATTTTAGCAAAATCAGAGAACGAAAAAAGAAATTTTGGAAGAAGAACACACAATAACTCTATTTTATTGAAAAGAATTAAGAAGAAAAACACAAGATACTGTTGGATCCTCATTTGGAGAGGAAGATCTTGCTCTCTCAAATCCCTAGACGTCAGCTAGAGCCCACTCAACCTAAGCAAAATTAATTTCGGCAAAATCAAGCATGAAGAAGAAACCCTAGCATAAACAAACTACTTAAAGCAGACAAAGCATATACAATTTCAAAACAACCCTCCCCCGTCCTTTTCCCTCATAACCAAACCCTCGTCTTTCCAATTTGGTGTGGGCCACTTTTAACTTTGGAGGTGATAAGCGATGCTCCTCTTCAATACTGTCCCTTACAGCCTGAACAATTCCCTCCCAAAATAATTGAGGAACACCTTATCTCGATCGAACACTACCGACTTTGGTTTCCCATACAATTTAATCACCTCTCTGATGAATGCCACCATCATTGTCATTGTCATGTATGGACGTCGTAGGGGAATGAAATGAGTATACTTGCTCAATCTATCTACCACCACCAAAATCACTGTAAACCCCTAAGATATGGATAACCTATCTATAAAATCCATGGTGACCTTCTCCCATACTTTGTTTGGAAGAGTTAGAGGTTGCAATAATCCTCTTGGGGCCATATTCATGTATTTGCTGCTCTGGCACACTTCACATCAAGCCACCATCTCCTCTACATCCTTATGCATTCTTCCAATACAACTTCGCCACCAACCTCATGTACATCTTATGCACTCTTGAATGACCTCCAATAGGGCTCCTATGGAACTCTCGCAGAAGGTAAGGAATATGTATCGAGGTTCGTGGCAACACAAATTTGTTCCCCTCTAGGGAATAACCCAAGTGGCTACTCTCATTCTTAGCAAATCTGTCCCAATCCCCCTCAGTTTCTTGTCCTGCACACTCTCCTCCTTAATAGCCTTCCAATCCAACATCAGTGGTATTGAAATAGCTAACTCTTGGAGTTCCCCCACACATTTGGACAATGCATCAATTGTCTTATTCTTTAGCCCTGACATATACATGATCTCAAAATTATATTCCAACAGCTTTGACAACCACCTATGATGCTCCTTGTTACCATCCTCTGCTCTAATAGTACTTCAAGCTCCTCTGGTTTGTCATGACGATGAAATGTTGTCCTAACAAGTAAAGCTGTTTCTTCTGAATAGCTAACACAATGACCATCAACTCCCTCTTATAGACTGACTTTAGCCTAGCTTTGACTGTCAACACCTGGCTGAAGTAAGCTATGAGCCTGCGATTCTGCATGAGCATTGCCCCTAATCCATACCCTCATCAATCTCCACAATAAAAACTTGGCTGAAATCTAGTAGGGCTAGGATCGGTATCATGATCATGGCCTTCTTCAGTCTCTCAAAGGCTTGCGTAGTTGCCTCGCCCCACATAAATTTATCCTTCTTCAGCTGCTCCATCATTGGCCACGCTATAGTGTTGTATCCCCTTAAAAACCTCCTATTAATACCAATCAACCTTATGAAACCCCTCAATTCTTTCAAAGTCTTAGGTAGTTGCTATTTCAACATAGCCTCAATTTTGGCCTGATCAGTGACCACCGCTTCCTGAGATACCACATGCCTCTCCACACTAAGTTGTGCAAAGCAACACTTCTTCAGGTTGGCTTGCAACTGATATTCCTGTAACACCTCCAACACCACCTTCAAGTGCTTTACATGCTTTTCGTCTGACCTGCTATACACCAGAATGTCATCAAAGAAAACCAATACAAATCTCATGAGGTATGGTCGAAAATCAATATTCATGAGGGACTAGACTGTAACAAGGACGTTGGTGAGGCCAAACAATATCACTAATAACTCATAGTGTCTCTCATATGTCCAGAAAGAAGTATTTGGGACATCCTCCTATCTCATCCTGATCTGATGGTATCCAAACTTTAGATCCAGCTTCATGAATACCATTGCTCCATATAGCTTATCCAACAGCTCATTTATCATTGAAATAGAAAACTTGTTTGGCACAGTTTCCTTATGCAGGGCCCGATAGTCCACACAGGTGTTGACCTTGATTCTGCCCAGACCCGAGCCCAAACTGACGTTAGCTGAAGATTGATTGACCTATATAGAATGGTGGGCCGATGATATTTTCTTTAAATATGTAGTTTGATGTTATCCTCGGTTGATTCACGTGATATACTGATTGATAATTATTTAAAAATTAGTATTAAGTTGAAGGGTAAAGTGACGATTCTGTTTACCTAGCTAATAATTTACTGATACAGATACAATACTAGAAATATATCACTTAAATCAGGATTTCTTACTTATTTAGTTTTTTTTATTTGTTTATTTTTTTTATTTAGTGTGCTACTGATTGTATGTTATTGAGGCATTGTTTTTATTACTGTACGGATTTACTATTAATGCATTATTTTACTACTCCTATAACTTGACTGTTATAGTTATTGATATAGTCACTAATACTATTTTATGCTACTGATTCACTATACTTATACTAATCATGTGACATTCTGAACACATAATATACTAATTTGATACTACTATAAAATAATTAGATAGTATGTGTACACTCATATATGATTTTACTGCATTGATATAATTTCGACAGTCTTTACTGATGATTTGATTTTATTGCTTTATATGATTTATTTACTAATTGATAGTTTTGATATGATGACTACATTATTGATTCAACACCTGTATTAGTTTACTGATTTCATCACTATACCATTTTACTATCTTTCGTATCATACTGTTTTACTGCTTTACAAACTTTTTTATCATTGGATATGAGTTTTACTGTTTCTGCACCGATTCAATGATCATATGAATGATATTGCTATGAATTGACTGCTGCCATTCATATTTCTTGTTTGTCATGCATTGAGTTTAATTATAGAATTTGATTACTTGTTGGGCTCTGGAGCACATTATACATGATTAAATGATTTCAGGTCAACACATAAGAACAAGTGTGAGATTGATCAGGATACTTTAGGTTTAAATTCTTATTATTTTAGTTATTCTTTTGTACTCATGACAGAGTAATTATGATCTTATTGTATAGATCTTGAGTAATGTACATGATTTTTGAGAAATGAATACATATGTTATATGTATATATTGATGTTTTGATCGATAGTTTTATTTTCGCTGGTATTTATATTGATAAAAGAAATTAGATAGATCTGACTGTTATTTATTAAAAGATAAAATATTAATTCTTTTAAATTAGATTCTGAAGTATCACAATTGGTATCAAAGTAATACACTAGTTGAAAAATGGGAATTAAGTTTCATACAAGACAGTGTTATGCCATGGGAGTCACCTATTGAACACTGTATGGAATAAAGTGCTATGTGGTAGGAGTCATCACTTAAACTTGTAGGAGCTACCTCTAGAATCCTAGCTGCCTCGTGGATGATTCTGAAATAAAGATGCTAACATGGACATAAGTTACTTAAGTGAGTGAGATTGTAAAACTCCATAGTTAAGCGTTAAGTAAAAGAATCTAAACTCTTAAATATCGAGATGCCTAGTGGTGTAATGGTTGAAAATTTATTTTAAAAACTCCATAGTTAAGCGTGCTCATCCCAGAGAAATCCTGGGATGGATGACCTCATGAAAAGTTACACAAACAGAACAAAACCGTGAAGCCCATAGGCCAAAATGGACAATATATCGATAGTAAGAATTTAGATCACACCAGATGCTTCTAGTCCTCCATTAACTGGGCTAGCTCCATAACCTCTCCAAGATCACGAGGCCTCATCACTCTAACTGCAGTTTAGATTTCTAGTTTGAGCCATTTCATAAAGTTTGCCTCTAGTACAATCTTCGAAAGTCGGTCTAGTCGGCTAGCAAGGTACTCAAATCTCTCGTGGTATTCCACCACTGATCCCTCTAACGTCAGCGCAAAGAACTGCTCATAAAAGTCACCTCCCCAGCTAGTTCGAAAACATTCCATAAAGTAATCCTTGAATTCCCTCTAGCTCCATATGGGTCGCCTCATGTTTCTCCATTGGTACCATGCCAATGCTTTCCCCCCCAAGCACAGGCTAGCTGTCATCAGTTTCTCCTCCTTCGTTATTCCATTGATGAAAAAAAATATTTCTACCCTGTAGATCCACTCATATGCATCCTCTCCCTCAAAGATAGGCAACTTCAGCTTCCTTAAACTCAGATCTCCCCCATTTTCCCTGATTCCTTCATAACTTCCCATTTCCCAAGTGGGTGCCCTCCCCCCCCAAGTGTCCCGATCCTCTCTTCAACAACCGGCCCCTCTTTCAAATTTGTCGTAAACCCACCCCAAGAGGGACAGAATTATCACAGGCGGCGGGATTGTCATTTGCTATATACGGCTACTGGTCTCGGAAAGACCGACTGGACCGGTCCAGGGAGGTTCAGTTTAACAAATTCTTGGAAGAACATTCCTTTCTAAAATCAAGGGAAAGGATTATCTTCCATTCTTCACACTTTGGAAAGTATAGTTTGTTCAATAAGCCATTATATATATGTAACATTTTAATATTTTAGGATTTTAATATTATCCATAAACATGTTTTTAATCCATAAACCATTATGAAATGAGGACAAACAAAATAGGATGCGATAACGCTTGCATGATTTTCAAAAATAATGTTCCAAAGCTAGTTTCTCATTATAATAGCAATTAGATGTTCTAGAAAATCAAAACTTTTTCTACCTCGGTCACTCTGCGCAGTATTGCTGCTTCAAGACATTTCACCATTTCTTTCCCCTCTCTCGTGTCAAGCATGCAGCCATCTTTGTGACGAATATATAGCTCCTGCAGATCTTAAATTATTAGCACTAAAAAATGGCCTTTATGAAGCATTCTATGCATAAACGTTTATTGTCCATGTTTTCAAGAGTTACTTAAATAATTCCATATGCTTGTACTTGTTAAACGGGAAGAGGAACTTTCCATTAGCAGTTTGAGCCCATAGCAATAAGATATATTAGGGGGCAAAACAATCAAAACTGGATGATAAAAGATCATCCTTTAAGAAATTGAAGCTGCAATGAGAATATCATGGCAAGTACACAGATGCTGATAATAAAATTCATCTTTTATTCTAAAATAATTGCTGATGAATGAAATGGAATAAATTATTATGTAAAATCTTTCAAAATATTTAGAAGCACCATAAATGATAAATTTATATATCATGTCTGACATTAATAAGAGCTTTCTAATACATTCATGAGCTAGACATTTGTGTCATAATCTAACATTAATAGGAGTTTTACTTGCAATTTGGTCTATTTGGCATAAGGAAGTACATGGGCAGCTAAAAGGATATTACCAATAGCTTTTCCATGATTAAAGAAACTTATCCCCCCCACATTTTGCTCAGAGAGAAATTTTGAAATACCTCATTGTGGGCCATACTCAAGCCTCCACACTGAAATTTGTAATTATTGATTAATGCAGAAATGAAAACTCAGCTCTTCCTCCATCTAGAAAATAGTTTTTCCAGATACTATAATTTTCCTGAGAACGAAGAATCGCAATAAATCAGTTTTAGATGGAAGATAATTTCCAGATCCCTCCCTTTGCAACCAAATAGACCAAACATCAATTAGGGATCAGTAATATATAACGAGAAAGAGAAACTGAAGACAGTAACTATTACACTGTCCAAGCTAAAATTAATACAAAACATAGATGTGTGAATAATGGAATCAGATTCAAATGATAAACCTCAGGCATGCTATGTTTATTTGCATTAACTGTAGTGCATCTCTATGTAAAGGCTCATGGAGATAATTTGATAAAGACATATTAAGAAATTATAATAGCAATTCACATCCCTGGACTCCCACAAGCCCAAGCCTAGGACAAACAATGCAACAACCAAAAAAGGCAGATTTTGCAGTATATTTTGTGCTTGAGTGCTGCATTGTCTCTGCAGCCTATCTGCATACAAAAGTTTCAAAGTTCTTCAATGTTTCTTCTCGTTCTCTTCGGTTCTTGCCAAGTCAATAATTCATGACATCAAATGTTTTAACAATCTTTCAAAAGCTTCGTCCAATCATTATAAAAATGTTTACAGCACGAAATAGTATATGTTACTGGTATATGAAAGAAAATTATTTGAGGTTGTGAAGTATATACCTGCGTTGCGTATAGGCCATCGGATGAAACTGAGGCATGGAAAACAACAAATTGCATATCTGTCAGAGTGCAAACAATGTCAAATAATAATTTTGACCGATCTTTGCACCGTATATTCACTACAGAGTACCCTTTATCCTCACAGCGATCAATTGTAATGACTGGTTTGATAGTTGTCATAGATTTTTCCTTTTGTTTGTCATCACTTTCATAATCTTTGTTGGCAAACATTAATTGGTGCAGACGACGACCCAAATGGATGGAGCTCATACCGAAATTAGTGCGGGCTCCTCTAACATCATCTCCCCGTGCACGCAGCAAATTATTAAGTTGCTGCTCCATCATCGACAACTGGTTAAGGTCACTCACTGCTTGCGAGGTAGCCTCATCATTGACATAAAAAACACACGCAACTCTCATGTTATGTGTCCAGACCTCAGCAACTAGGACATTAAAATGTAGATTTGCAAGCACAGCAAAGATTTCAGAAAGGAGGCCTGGGCCATCTGTGCCTATGAGCTCAATGATGTTATAATCACCAATCGAGTGCATTCCCACTGCCTTTCCAGACCAGATGCTCCCTTTTATACCAAGAATATCGCCATCTGGACCTAGAGCCTGAAACCCAATTTTTAGAGTAAAAAAAAAGGCTATGATTCAACTTGTAGAATCCCACGTGTGGAGCAACAGAAAGAAACTGAAGTTTTACAGAGCTCATGGATGAAGATTTAGTCTGGAAAAGTGAGAGAAAATAAAATAAACCATGCTTTCCATTCAAACAATTATGAAATTACATCTTGATTTGGGTATCTTATTCCAATTAATGCCCAGTTAATTTATATTTGTTTCCACACATATTCTAAATCTTATTTTCATAATCATTGTGATGCAGATGAATGATGCAAAAGAATGCATTATCTCTATATGTTTATTTGCATATCAAAATAAAAAAATCCTAATTTCCATGCATGTCAGATATATAATCAGAGATGTTTATACATGCCACATTATTATATCTTTCACACATAATTAAATATGTCATTCTGACCCGTGAAATTCCAACATGGTCATACAAAAAGGTTCATAGAATTTACATTTACAACATATAAGAAATTATAAGGTGAAAGTTATTTAAATCTAAAAATGGGGACATTTTACCAGATTCGAGAGTGAAAATTTAAGAAATCAATATAATTGAAAACAAAAGTGAGATTCGGGTTACCTATCATGATCAACTGAAAACATCCCCTTATTGAAAACATTTCTCTCAAGTGTTTGCCAAAATTTTCAAAGAGGAATATATATATATATATATATATATATATAACATCATTTAGTATCCAACACCATAATGTTACATGCCACATGTAGAAATCTTGGTTATTGTAAAATAGATAAGACATTGCCACTGCGTTGCCATCTAGCGCTCCTAGCACCGCAACGCTCTAGTGAAATTTTTTCAAATTTTGAAATGAACTCATTTTAAACACTTTTATAAATTTTGGGTTATTACAATGAGGACTTTATTGGTTTGAAGGTGAGATTATTTGTATTTATACATAAATTGGCTTACAAGACTTAATGGGAAGAGAACGCCAAGGCATGTGTATGATAGGTAGATTAGTTTCTCAACTAACTTTTGATGTTGTCCAATATTTATTTTTGTTTATTCATCTGTATCTAGTTTATGATCTAGTTCAGCTGTAGTTTCACATGGCTTATAATTTATCATCTTTATTTCTCTTAATAGGTACATAATATATTTTTGTTGAGAGAAAAATATTTATTTCTCTAATTGAGCAACTTATATACCCAAGAAGTATTTGAGTTTGCCCAGTTATTTGATTTCAAATTCTATAGCAAGTTTTTTCTAAGTTATTTCTTTTCTTCATTGTTATCATTTGTAACACTTATATCATCAATATATATATACAATGTAAATTGAAAATGTTTCATTAATGGAGTATTTTATAGAGAGGGTTTGATTTCCTTAATTTTATTTATACCTCATTCCATATATGCCTTTTATAAATCTACTAAACCATGCTCCTGGGGATTTTTTGAACCATAAAGTATCTTTCTCAATCTTTTTTAGGTCTACCTCTATCTTTCTTAACATAAACCAAATCTAATATATCTACTCTCCTAATCGGGTCATCGGAAGGCCGTCGTTTTATGTGACCAAACCATCTAAGGCGATTCTCTCTAATCTTATCGTCCAATGGAGCTACTCAAACCTTTTCACATATATGTTTGTTTTATATCTTGTCTCTAAGAGTAAAGCCACTCATCCACTTGAGCATCCTCATCTCCGCAACACTGCCCAGAGACTTTGCCCTCATCTTGCGAGGACTTTATGATTGAGGTCTAGTTTCCCATAAGTGCAACCACTTATGGTTAATTATCCCTCCCGATAGCGAGAGAACTTTTAATTAAGGCTAGTTGTTGGATAGACACTAAGTACTAAACATATAGTAACAGTAGATTTTAGAGTCTATACATTAATTTTTTTTGTTTTTTTTAGGATTTGAAATTTATCACCATACTTAAAGCTAATGTGGGCTTCGAAAATTCGCGCCCCGATCTCTCTGCATAGCCCCCTTTTTTTGGGTAATCGAGGAGAACTTTAATGTTTAGGTTCCGGGGCAAATTTTCAGAAGTCAGATTGAATTTTTAATAAGACATTATCCAGAGATTTCGCCCTCATTTTGCAAGGACTTTATGATCTAAGTTATGGTTTCCTATAGGCGCAAGCCCCTATAGTTAATTACCCCTCCCACTAATGAGAGAGAACTTTCGATTAAGGCTGGTCGTGAAACATATACAAAGTATCTGCATGTAAATGCAATATTGAATGACATGCCTGAATCAAACCCTCTGCATCCTACAAATGTACGTAAGAGGTCATTTTGAATTGTGATTATAATGCAAGTGACATGCTAGAATGAAACTCTCTGCATATCACAAATGCATGCATATTATAAAATGCATATCAATGTGTATTTTAATGCATGAGAGAGGGGGGGGGGGGACTGTTCTACATTTTTTGGAGGTAGCTAGCTATGCAGGTACTTATTGCTGACAAGTATGCAGGACTTTATTTTGGACTTTGTTGACGCATTATATCCGCTTGTAAAAATGTCGCGGATCCGGTGGTGTGACACATTAACATAACGCACAATATATTTACGTAACATGCATGCATAATGTATATTTACGTCGTCGATTTGCCCGCATGATATATTTGCATGATAATCCGACACTTGCATGTAGTGCATAATGTATATACATGTCAGCAGGGTACGTTGCTGCAGTGCAATCTATTTCATATGATGAATAACATGTTTGCGTTTGTGTAAAGAATTTTGTATGCTATGATGTGTATGCGCACAATACATCCAGTATACTGAATGACATATTTGTTATGATGCGTTCTGCATGTTGCGACTATATACAAGTGCAACATATTGACATGTAAATGTGATGCATTGTTATAGCATAATGCATCTTGTGATGCCGAATGACGTGTTTGCCAGAATTATTATGCCTGCTGCAATGCATGTACAAGGACATTTTAAAATATTTGGCAATAAGCAGTCATACGAATGATTATCATTTGAGTATGTGCAACATTCTATTTAGAAGTTTGTAGACGTCTTCTGTCCGCTTGTACGAGTGTTACAGATTCGATGGTGTTTTTTAACAGCGCATTGTACTTCATCTATCATGCACTAGCGATGTGGCTCATCTATTTTCATCTTTAGCATGTCGTCAATTTCTTCAACATTCAACTCGTAGGAATGTACTTTTGCTGGCAAATATGTTTTGTGACGCATTAGGAACATTCCAACTGTCATTTGTAGGTAAGCTGGTTTATTTGATGAGACATGTTAGCATCACAAATTTATTGCCTCGCTTTATCAGAGGCCCACAATTTTTACTACGAATTCCTTGCTTTTGCTTACACATGAATCATGACGTATCGTTCATAATAGCCATGAGATTCTTCATTGTTCTGATGCAAGCTCTATCTTCTAGTCCTTCGAGAGATCAGATCCACAAATCATTTTATCCTTACTCAGGCTAGATGAGGACATTCAAGTTGCATGAAGTCATTTTGTGATAAATGAGGTATCATAATCTGATAAGACCAAAGGCGGCTCGGCTAAGATACTATTAGATTTCTATCTTCAAATTGTCATATGGTAGTCTCCCCGAAGTATGAACATGATGGAGCACAAGATAGTTTTCAGTATCCCAACGACATTCCAGTATCTGATATGCATATGGGACATGGAAGTTTCTCCTACAGTCCTTGACATGGCGACCAAGAGCAACTTTCTTCAATATAAAATTGCAACATTTAATGATGCGCGTGTAGGACATTAGGTTATGACGTTTGATCTATTATTATTTATCCTTCATTATGCATCATTTCTTCAGAAGCCTCAATATGTCTGTAAAGATAATGGAATATACAAGTCTCAATGATACTTCCATCCAAATCAACTTTGGTGTGCCCTCCCATTGAGACGTCTTTTTAACTGATCATTCTTTGATTCTACATAATGATTAAACCTTGCATGCTTAGTGCCACAGTTAGGACCTTCCTCTGGTAATATATTGACGAGATTTATCCTTATACCGTGTTGCTCTTATCCCAACGATCACTATTAGAGTCTCTAGAGTTGTCAATTAGGAGAATTTAGTTGCATTTGATCAACAAAACCTTCAAATCTAATGTAAAATGGGTGTGTTTCTTCTCAGCGTGGTTGTTAACTGCAAGAGTTTTTTATAGCAGTTAATAGGCGCTTGCATCTGCTTTAGTCCTCCTGTATTTGCTGCAATCTTCAGTTCCTGCTCACAAATCACATTGCATGCATATCTATATTCAAAGGGAACTCAACATCCTTGCAACATATCTACTATCACTGCTTCTTGTGGACATTTGCAGGGAATATTATCATTTGCAAGCAAGTTTATTATGTTAACATGCTGATGTAGGGTACCAGTTGAGCTGCATTCATCATTGGTTTCTCCTTGCATGTTGACTAGTGAGTTGCTGCATTCGCTTGCATGTTTTCTAGTGTTCATAGGAACTGCCACATATATTTGTAGCACATCTATCACCGCTGTTGGTTGGCATTGACATTTACTACAACTTTTTTGTACTTGTTGGTGGGTAACATGTAGCATATATCGCGAGGCTCCTATAGTGGCCTGTAGGTGTTTGCCTCCATTGCAAATCAATCACTTCTACTTGTAGGATATTGGCGCATTTACTAAAATCTTAGTTGTCGTTGATTTTACTAACACATTGGAGTTTGTTACATGCTGTATGTACATGTTAGCATATAGCATTATCATTTGCCAGTAGGTTTTGTGTGTTCGTTATTATGCTAATGTAGGCCATTAGTTGAGCTGCATTCGTCACTGGTTTCATGTGCATGTTGGCCGGCAATTTGTCCTTCAATGTACGTCTGTATCTCCCGCTTGTAGGTATTAGTAAATATTGTACATTGATCATTTGATATTTGTTTGTGAGGGATCAATGCATCTGCTTTCCACCGAGTGAGTGTTGACTGTAGGAAGGATCTAACATCTGCAGCATGTTATTCATTGTCATTAGTAGGTGGACTACTGTAGGCATGATATATCTCCTATGTTGCGTGCAGATGTTCATATTTATAGTTGGCTCTTGGTTTTTGTTTACACATGAACCGTCAAATCTTAAATCCCCTACTTATATACCCATTGCAATCTCCTTAGATATGCTTGTAGGAAACTCATTGCACCTATGTCATGTTCACTATTATCATCTATAGAGGGCTTAGTGTGCTTACTGCAATAATATTAGCTGCATGCAAGACATTGATACTAAATGCAGGGCGTTGATGCATTCATTGCCTGTGGCTCATGTGTGAGTTGTCGCATGCATGACAGGTCTTTCGAAGTTGCTTGCAAGTATCACCCCTACAATCTACAAGCCAGCTATTGAGCATGATAAGTCTTTTCCTGTTGCACTTAGGAGATACTCATGCTCTTTGTAACCAATTGGTGCAATTTATAAATAATTTATGTTTGAAGGCTTCCCATCACGAGTCCCCTGCTTATTCGTTGACGTTTATTTGAATGATCATAATTATTATTTGGAATTTGCATTTCAATTATTATTGTGCATTTTAAATTTTAGAGTTCAGTTCCCTATTGTTCATTAATATTATGTTCCACGTCATGCTATTGAGATCAGGTCCCTTGTTGTTTATTTAAATTTTGTGCATCTTTACTTTGAATTTTATCAACACCCCGACATCTCTCATGTTTATGGAAAATTTAGGGAGTCTTAGCCTTCCCGCCACGTCAAGAAAGATGTGCACGATCAATGTTGGATGACACCACGATCATAATCTTCAATCCCACCACACCAAGAAATTAGAAGGATCTGAACTAGAGGCTAAGGATATGACTTGTGCTGATCAAAAACTATGATCTAACCATTCTTATGTTATGGTGTTAGACGAATGCATCTATCGACTTATCTTATTTGAAGTGAGCTTGACTAGTCTTATTGTGCACACAAATTAGGATTTATAGGAATATTATTAATAATTATAATAATATCAAATAGATGAACTTAATTATTTTAATTAAATCTTAAAAAAAAAAATAAAATTTTAGTAAAAATTGTAGCTATGCTGTAATTAACCTAAATATTTTTCCTCAACCACACGGCAAATTATTGGGTCAGGTGACCGGAGCCAAAAGATAAGTTCGGACAGCCAATAAAAATTTGCCGCGTCACCTTGCGCTTTAGTTGCGCTTTTTGACTTGCGCTTTAGTTGCGCTTTGGTTGCGCTTTAGTTGCGCTTTTTGACTTGCGTTTTAGTTGCGCTTTGGTTGCGCTTTGGTTGCGCTTTGGTTGCGCTTTGGTTGCGCTTTGGTTGCGCTTTGGTTGCGCTTTGGTTGCGCTTTGGTTGCGCTTTAGTTGCGCTTTAGTTGCGCTTTAGTTGCGCTAATTTTAAAATAATATTTTATTATTATCCGAACCTATCTCTGCGTTCGGTCACCTGACCCAATAATTTGCCTTCAAATGGAGGATCGTTGTTGTAAAAGGAGAGACGGGTTTGGTGCAAAAGAAGTCGGTTGAGAGGGGTTGATTCGATGGAATCGGCGAGGCTTCTAGGGCTGACGAAATGAGAGCTCGGTCGTACGGGTCTGAGGCTGTATGGGAGATCGGGCTGTGAGGGGCGGTTTGCGGCTTCGGCTTATTCATGGTTCAGAGTCGACTAAAGGAGGAAAATCAAAGCGGTTGTTCTGTTCATGCTCGGTAGTGAGCTGTGGCTTCGGTCGGCAAAGAGGATTTCACGAAAGATATAGAGGAATCAGGGCTTGCGATGAGGGCTGGACGGAGAAGTGGACGACTGGAGGAGATGGATCAATGGGATCTTGCACTTGGTCGGCTTTGGCTATAGCATGAGGGAGATTGGTGTGGGATCTTGCAGGAAGTAGGAGTGGCTGACGATACTAGAGATCGGGATTGCTGGGTCGAGGCGGAAGGTGAAGTTCAGCATAGTGCTTGTAACCGAAGCTGGGCATGCGACGGGCTGTGAGGAACGAAGCAGGGATTCGAGTAGGGAAGGAGGCTTGAGGTGTTCGGTTTGTGAGTGAGAAGAGCGTGGAAGCTTGTAAATGGGAGAAAGAAGAACAAAGCCTCTTGCCTCATTCACTTTAAAGATGCGGGCAGATCGCGAAGATTAAGGGGGTAGTGCGAAGAGGATGAGCAAAGTGGTCGTCGAGACGTAGGTAGAATGTCGTTGGACGTCCGAACTTGTGTGGAGCATGTCATGACGCCGAATAGGCATGAGGCGTGGGGGATTTGAGTAGGATTTCGTTGTACAGAGGTCAACACCCGATTAGGATCCCATGCTTCTGTCGGTCCGGGTTGTGGTGGTCCCTAGTTTACTTGGTCATAGGAGGTAGTCGATCTAACTTGACTAAAGGATCCTTGTCGGTAGCCATGGGTTATGTCGTCCAAGGATCCTTATAGACTAGGGATGAATGTTTGCCAAATGGGACAGATTCAAGTCCATCTTAGCTAACAAAGGGCTCTATGCCTTATCAATTATACCCTATTGACTCATTACTTAAGGATTTAAAACTATTAGGGAATATACGAGCTCTAGTCGTGATCGTAATTTAGTGGTTCCATTTAGCAGCAAAATCACCCGGTTAGAGAGCCCTGGTCATAACTGTTTATCTATGGTGTCATTTTGCGGTGAAATCATCGGTCAAAGAACACGTGTCATGTCCTTACTGGTGAGAGATGATTTGAAAATGAATATTAGTGATATACTTGGCTGGACATTTGCTCATTGTAAGATAAAATTATACTCAAATTTATCACCCCCTACAAACGATTGAGAAAGATGGATAAATTTTTGCTTTAAGTTTTTAGGTGTTTAATTTCACTTAAATATTTTAAATTTTGAAGAATATTAGATTTGAAATTTTATTTAAATTTGAACCCATAAAAATTAATTTTGTGATTTGGGAGCATTTCTTTGAAATTTATATGGTCTTGTCCGATTGTGATTCACTTTCAATACGGTCATCATTGGGGTGACTTTATAGTTAATTTTAAAATATCTCATTTTGTATTAAGATTCTGTGTATTTTGAAAGTAGTCTCCTCTGATTGAGAAAATTCACTTGGGTATATAAATTTACTTATGCCACAACTTAGCTATTTGATATTGTGTTATTTTATGATTAATAAATTTTTAAATCTTTTTATTTTTGAATGTATACAAATAATAGAACTTCATATGATAGCTTTTATTTGATAACACTTTTTGTCTTTATTTAACATAATTGTAAGTGTTTGCATGTTGATTATGCTCACATTTTTTATTGCAATTTTCAATTAAATTGTTTCCCTTGCATATGCAAATGAAGTATACCCTAATACTTTCTTAAAATCTAGTTTTTCTGCAAATCTAGCAATTAGCTGACTTGATAGACCTCATGACCTTTCCATACTCATTAGGGAATAAGAGAAGGCCAATGAGAATTGGCATCTCATTTTCTGAATATGGGAATGAGATCAAGCTGTTCCTTTGTAGAGTCGTAGAAAATGGATGGATCAATCAGAAAAGAGTTTAGAAAAACATGAAAGAGATAGGTCCACCTGTGCAGCAAACCTGGGGGAAGATTGGAGAGAAGTGTGCCTTACCTTTTCTATGTGTTCAATGGTCTTTGTATCAGTTATTTTTCCTCCTTGTTGATCAGTCACATGGAAAACTGCATTGATTAAGAAAAATTGTGGTAAGAATTGAATTGAAATATTATATTCATTAGATGCGGATATTACAATTTCCCCACTTCTAGGGTGGTTTAAAGGGAAGAAGCTTTTGCCTGTGCTATTTCTTATCCATAAACTATGTTTCAGAGGCCAAAAATGTAGTTAGCATATTTTGAACAAATATTAATTCATTTTGTAGCACATTAGAAACCATTGTCATAATGCGTTAGTGCAAATTGTAAGTGGTGAAGCTAAGCTGCATGCCATTCACATGATTAATTGCATTTCTTATATCTTTGAGCTCAATTAATTTTTTATTTTATGTGATTGAGTGAGAGTGATTTGAGGGGAAAGGGAAAGCTAAGAGAAAAATAATATTTTTGGAAATTGTTGCATTTTGGGCAACCAAATATTATCTTGATTTAGAAGTTGAACTACAGTGATAGTTTGAAAAAAGTGAATTCAAAATGCTGCTTGCATTTGGAGAAGTTTTAGCTTACCATCCATAAACCATAAACCATCTGATGTAATATAAGCTTTTGATATTGCTAAATCCAAGTCACTCAATACTTGCACAACTTCTAAGAGAATCCCTGGTTTATTCACGCTATCCACCTGAAAATAAATACAAAAGAGAATGTTAATCTTCAGTTCCATTCCTGTCTGATAATATTTTTTTCAAAAAAATGCATTTTCATACCACATTAGCATCCTATTTATTTTGCTCGTGTTCTCAAGGTTCTAATTGTTTATCAGTATTCACACAATATTCACATAGATATTAATGTGGATAGATGTTTAGGTATTAACTATTATATTTGTATGGCACTTATGAAATTAATTATTCTCAATTTTGTCCAAGGGGAAGAGTAATTTTCACCATATTTTTTTGTTAAATGTGTATATGTTGCAAATAATGCATTGAAGCTAGTTACAAAATATGCTTTCAAAAACATTGGTAATCTAATATATTGATAGGAAATGCTTGAATATTTCTAGTAAATCCTAACAAGAATAGGGAAAAACAGCAAGAGAAACACAAAAATTAGATGGAAAACTCTCCAATTTGAAATTGAATTGCAAAAGAGAGAACTAATGGAAACAACGAAACAAAGATACAATTGATCCTCAGTTCTAGAGGAGGATCGTCTCTCCCAATCTCTAGATGAATCTAGAGCTCAAGGCACCAAGAAGAACCCTCACAAAAACACAATAATCAAAACATAACCCTAACCCTAATTTCCATGTCCTACTTAAAGCATACAATTAATAAAAAAAATACAATTAATTAATCAAGCCAAATGACTAAGGAGCCCTTGCCACCCCCTCCTTTCCCTCCAAGGAGTTTGAATTTGAAGTATTGGTGGACCCCACTCCTCTCCCGCTCTCTTTGCCACCTCCCCTCCAAGAGTAAAACTGAATCAGTCCCTTAGGGATCAGTTGTAATTGGACCGGTCCACTAGGGACCGGTCTAATAATACAACCCTCTCAAATAATTACCTTGTCCTCAAGGTTGAAATAAGGAAACTGATGTTTCACCCTCTCGTATAGCTCCCACATGGCTTTGTTGTCCGGGAGATTCTTCCACTTGATCAACACTTTTTAGTTCAATCTTCTCTCTGGCGAACCCCAATCAACTCCAAGGGTTCCAAAATCACCTCTAAATCTTCAGTGAGTGTCACTGGTAACTCCGAACTGGCTGCATAATCTCCAATGACCCTTCTCAACTGGGATACATGAAAAACATGATCTATAGTTGTCGTTGGTGGTAGTTTCAGCCAGTATGCCACCGCTCTGATCCTCTCCAATATCTCATAAGGCCAAAAGTATCTAGGGTAAGCTTCTCATTCCTCATGTTTGCGACTGTCTTTTGCCTGTATGGTTGGAGCTTCAACAACATTTTCTCTCCTACCTGAAATTGGATGTCATTTTTATGCCCATCTGTCTGTTTCTTCATAATCTGTTGAGTTCTCAGGAGATGCCTCTTCAACTCATCCAACACCCTATCTCTCTCCTCCAAGTACTCTACTGAAGAAACTAGAGTGCTGTTATTCCCAAAGCGCACCAAGTGAGGTGGATCCCTCCCGTACAACACCTTGAATGGCAACATCTAAGAAGTAGAATGATAAGAGGTGTTATACCAATACTCAGCCTATGCTAACCACCTGGCCCATAACTTGGGTGTCTCTAAGACAAAGCATCTGAGGTAAGTTTACAAGCTCCTATTGACCACTTTTATTTGGTCATCTGTCTGCGGGTGGTAGGCAATGCTCCTCTTCAATACTGTCCCATATAATCTGAACAGCTTCCTCTAGAAATGACTGAGGAACACCTTATTCTTGTCGAAAACTATAGCCTTTGGTACTCCATGTAGCCTGACCACCTCTCTGATGAAAGCTGAGGCCATTGTAACTGAGGTATATGGGTGTCGTAAAGGAATGAAGTGAGCATACTTGCTCAATTGATCCACTACCACTAAGATCACTGTAAATCCTTCTGATCGGGGAAGCTTATCTATTAAATCCATGGATATCTCCTCCTATACCTTTCCTGGAAAAGCTAATGGCTGTAGTAATCCACCTGGAGACGTAGTCATGTACTTGTTCTTCTAACATATTTCATAACTGGCTACAATATCTCAACATCCTTATGCCTTCCAATACAGCTCTAATGCTAGCCTCTTATATATCTTTTGTACCCCTGAGTGACCCCCAACAGTGCTCCCATGAAACTCCTGGAGCAAGTGTGGAATGTGGGCGGATGTCTATCACAAACCTTCCCTGGTACAACAGTCTCTCCCCTTCCAATAAATACCGCAGGTAGATACTCCTTTCCCTCAGTAAATCGGCCCTGATTATTTCCAGCTCCTCATCTTTGGCACTCTCCTCCTTGATGGCTTCCCAATCAAACATCAATGGGATCGATACTGTTGTCGCCTGCAACTCTCCCATACATCTGGACAAGGTATATGACGCCTTGTTATCCACTCCTACCCTGTATTGGATTTCAAAATCATATCCTAGTAATTTGGACAGCCACCTCTGTTAACCATCCGCTGCTCCAACAAGTACTTCAGGCTTCGCTGGTCTATTCTGAAAATGAAATGTCTACCTAATAGGTAGGACCGCCATTTCTTGATTGCTAATACAATGGTCATCAGCTCCTGCTCATAAACTGATTTCAACCGGGCTCTAGTTGTCAACACTTGGCTGAAGGAGGCAATGTGTCGATGATACTACATGAGCACTGCCCCCAATCCATACCTTGAAGCATCTGTCTCCACTATGAAGACATGAGTGAAGTCTGGCAGAGTTAAAACTGGTACAGTGGTCATAGCTTTCTTCAAACTCTCAAAAACTACTGTAGTTGCATCCCCCTATAGGAACCCTTTCTTCTTTAACTGCTCTGTTAGCGGCCAGACAATAGTGTTGTACCCCTTTACAAACCTCCTGTAGTATCGTGTCAATCATACTATGGGAGCACCATCAATCCTGATGCCCAAGATCACCTAGACGTCCTGCAACGTGATTGTTATCTCCCCAAGTGACAGGTGGAAGGTGTTCTCCATAGGACACCATCTCTCGACATAAGCAGCTATCAATTAGGAGTGGTCCAACTGTATGAAGTGTAGGTGTTGAACATAATCCAAGCCCGCAATTTGCAGTGCATGGACCAATTGAGGGAGGGCAACGAACTGACCACTCACTTGCCATACATAAGTGGGCTGAAGCCAGAAGCTACACGGCCTGTCAAAATATAATGCAAAGATAACTTAAAAAATTATGAAATAAGTTATAATATTTAATGGTGTTAAAAAAAGCATATCTCATTAAGATTCGAAGCTCTATGAGCATCCCCCATAAAGCAATGCTCGGTTGTTCATCTGACTTTGTTACATCTACTTGTGCATGGCCACCAGCTCATCTGGACCGTCATGACCGAACTCTGTCACCTGCACCCTCAATCTCCTCCGATAGCTCATAATCTGTGAATCGTTAATACTGCATTAAAAAGTTTTGTAAAATCTAAGATTATTCAAAGACCAGCCTAACTTTACTAAATTAATTCATCATTAAATTACAAGAAAAATAACATATGAAAAGCTAATTCTACTACATATTTTTCTCGAAAGTCTACATCCCGATCACAAAATCTAATCTCTCCTCTTGTTACTACTTGGATTAGTAGAACATGTTACCCTTGTTCTCACAGAACGAGCAAGTTCTACTTGAAGAACCACATATTTCATCCATACTGTTATGACACCGTTTTGTTCTAGGTTTACCAAAACGACGTCGCAATGCAGGTGCCAACAATGGTATTATCCCTTGATCAGCACTATATGGTAGCCATAGGCTCCTCTCCAGGATAACATGAAATATTCCTGAATAACTTTCTTTGTAGTATGCTAGGGTGTAGTATGGCGATACAAATGCGTTGTGATCCCAATGTTTTGACCCCAAGGTTATGGCTGCATGTTTGCATGTAGTATGATAAATCTTTGGTTAATCACACAAACAAGTGCATGTTTGTGGAGATATAATAACAAAGCGGTAGGATCTGCACGACATGTCAAAAATCTCAAACTCATGGCTGTTAATTTGAGTTGGTTGTGGACTTCTGTGTACTTGACATTCAACCAATTTTATAATTGCCTTTGTGCGTGGGACCAGTGTTGAACTATCTGAAGCTATCCAATTTTCAACCTTGCTTGTTCTCTTGAGGAATAATGTGACAAGATTGTAATATATTGTCATGATAATGCCTTGTATAGGTAATCCACACATTCTTCGTAGGACACCATTGAAGCATTCAGAGGAATTGATGGTCATAACTCCATATCTAAAACCACCATCATGAGTCAAGGCCCACTTAGTAATATCCCGCTCCATCAACTAATCGTATGCTTCTTTATTTAGATTTTGTATGTCTGTCATGTACATATTGTGCACTATAATATCATATGTATTCCCAGCCAAATACATTTTGTCACAAACAGCATCGCAGTCTGGTACGACTAGTCATCATATAGCTTTCTTAAAATTCTCTCATAGATGACGGAGGCAATGTTGATGCGCGACCTAAGAAAAAATCTCATTGCATCCGCATATCAGACCAGCATGTTTGTCAGATATGATGCATAAATCACGATGAGTTCATGTGATTACAATAAGATCACACAACATGTGCAAGAACCAACTCCATGATTCTACTGATTCAGATTCAACCACAACAAAGGCAAGTGGGTATAACCCACCATTTTCATCCACACCGACGGCTGCTAGAAATGTCTCTCAACATTTTCCCAGAAGAAAGGTACCATCTAGACAGAGACCGGGATGACAATATTGCCAACTTGCTATGTTGGGGCCAAAAGATCAGAAAATGCTCTTGAATCTAAAATCATGGGTAACTTTAATATTGTGAACAGAGCAAGGATTGCTAAGCGTATTGCTTCCATCATCTAGTTTAATGATTTGTATGACTCTTTGTAACTCCCAAACACTAACCGTATAGCTTTTTTTTGTGCATCCCAAGCTTTCATAAACGATACTTGCACATCAAATTTTGATTTGACTCGGGTTATGATTTTTCTCGATTTCAAATCTAATTTTTTTTCTCAAAGCTGTAGTTATGTACTAGCAGATGAATTTTGATGTACAATTTCGATGAGTTGCATACATAACTGGATGCGTGCATGTATGTCATTCAGTTATGGATGAAATCTTCCATACCTCTCTGGGGCATTTGCTCTTCGCCTCGTGAGGCGCCATAGACATGGCCGACTTTGGTGCTCTTGTTGGGCACATATAATTGTAAGGTGTTGCTTATTGGAGTATGATTTCTTGTACTCTACGTTATTTGTTAGTGACCACCTCGTAAGGACACATTGAAGAACTTCCTTGATTCCAAAAGTCATGCCCTCATACAATTGATTTGGAATGATGGCATCAAAATACTCTTGATGACGATTTATCGGAGTATCAACACCATCAAATGCGTCCCACTCCTTTGTGGTACTTATGTTTTGGACAAACTCATTATTGGCGATCATGTCATCTAGATTTTGTACATTCTCTGCAATATGATTTTGAATAATCTGATGAGCAAGCAATGCGACCTCCAAATCCTCCATATGTACTTAGCAGGAGGTGCTTCGAGCTCCTTGCTCGAGTTCTCGCTTGTACCACTATCCATTGTCTCGTAAGCGGGCACTGCTACTTTTACGATAAGATGGGTTGAATGTGGTCCAACAGGGACTTCACATTCCCCAATGTTAAACAGTACTGAAGGTGAGGTTAAATGTGGGCCGTGAGCTCACGCACCCGATGATGGGGGATAAGTAAGTATAGGTGTGGACCTACAGGGAATTTTGAATATAGAATGATTAATTATCTTCCAAATATGCAAGTAAGCATGGCATTACTATGTAATGAAGTACGAGAATAACTTGGATAAATAGATGGAGTGTCGAGGGTTATCGAACATTATGAGTGGTGGGGACTCAGCTCGTGCCATTGCCCTGGGTAATCTTCAAACTCAACATAAACGATCACGATCCTCCGCCTAGCTTCGACTAGTAAGAATGCACACAGCTCATCATCTGTAATATGAACGGCTATGTGAACATCATTATTGTGCGACATGCAAGATCCACTGTGTTCGTGCTGTAATCACGATGTACTGCTCTAATGATTCTAAGTTTAAGTTCTTCAAGTGTTATCATGTTGTTAGTCTGTAGAGGTCTATTTCTTCTATTAATATTTGTTGGTATACAAGATTTGGCTAGTTGAAGGTTCCCATCAAAGATTAGTAGGTGACATGATTTCTGATGATTAATGATAAAGTAAATAAACTGTTTGAAGTGATAATGAAAATCTAATATTACAGTATTTACTACAGGGAATTTTGGCTTACTAATAGATCGTTAACCTTAACACATTGTTAGAACTTTCTGTGAATAACAATTCACATAGTTTCGAATTAAGCTTGAAATATAAGCGGATTAGAATTGCGGCAACGATGTTCTTCCTTATTTTTATCAGTGCTGGTTTTCTCTCTAACTATATATATATATATATATAAAAGAGGGGAAGGCAAGTTGATATTGAGAATTATAAAATAAAAGAACAATTATATCTGGTATGTCTCTCTTTCTTTTTTTTTTTTTACAACAAGCATAGAAGAACTCACGTCCTTCATATCTTTAATCCAGTCGGGAGAAGAACAAGAACAAAAGAAGACCCCACGTTTGTATTTTTGATCCAGTTGGGAAGAACATGAATTATACAAAGACCCAACATCCGTT